CAAGCACCATCGGGATTGAGGCTGCCAGGACGGAACAGATAGTGGTGTGCGTTGAGAGAGACAGCGGTTGCCATACCGCGTTGGACGCTTTCAATAGCGGCTTCTCGAACGGTGGCATCTGGATGAAAGAGGCATTCGTCGTAAGTTATACCGAATTGCACAAGGTCGAGTTTTGCTGGGTGCTGCTAACATTTGCACACAGCGGTTACAAGCATCAGGTGGCACAGACGGATTTCCGCGCTGCCGGAAATGGAAGCTTAATCCAGTAAATTCCAAAGCCTTGATGTTTGCGATTTCATCTGATGTAAGTGTGCGGAAGTCGCCGCAGAGTCCAACAACGCCAAGTCTCATATTTTTTTCCTTTAGGACTTACGCAATTTTTCCATGACATCCTAAGTATTGCGCACTGCTGGCGAGGTTTGAAACCTCGCCAGCAAAGGAGGTTGCGTAAGTCCTTTCCTTATTAAACGCAATTTTTTTGATCTCGTTTAGGTGTAGGTGCAAAAACCTCCAATTCCTTTAAGAGGTTTTTGGCACGCATAAGGTCATTTGTATCCAAACCTTCTGAGAACCATGCATATATCGGTTTTAGTAAATTGTATGCGTCTTTGCCACGATTTTGGGTGTGCCATAATTCACTTAAGCTGAGGGTAGCTCGGAGTTCCCATGATTTTGCGTCTTGTTGTCGTGCTATCGTTAACGCTTCCTGAAAATAGGATTCCGCTTGTGCAACGGTTGATTGAGTATTCTCGTTGCTGCCAGTCTCAGTTTCCTTGGCAAGGATAAGACAGAGTTCTCCCTTCTGTCGCGCGAGTTCTGCATGATATGTGCGTTCTCCTGTACGTGTGATGACACGCAATGCAGCATCAAGTGTCTGTAAGGCTAAACTATATTGCCCCGCGCGTTGGTAGGTTTGTCCAAGCAGTGCGAGAAAGAGAGGCATCAGTAACTCACCCCTTGTCTCTTTCCAAGCGGCAATGCCTTCACGAATCATCGCGATGCCTTCTTCAGGACAGTTCTGCGCTGCGAATGCCCAACCTTTCATCACCGTTGCTGCGGCTTCCCATGCGGAAAACCCGTGCTCTTGACATATCTGTAGCATCTGCGTTGCTGAGGTGTTTACTTTCTCCGTTTCACCTTGGTACTGATAAAGCACGGTTTTAAAGTGGAGTGATACTGCCTCACTAAAAGGGTGGTTCGTGTCCTTTCCGATGATCACAGCTTGATTAATGCGCTCTTCCGCTTGGATAGGATAACCGATGCACCACAAAAGTGGTGAAGAATAGGCGAGGAGCGTCATTCCGGGTTCTGCCACATAGTGAAGAAAAGCCGGGACCGGATGGTGCTGCGGCTGATAGCGTTCAATGCCTGCCTCCAAGTGTGCCAATGCACTGTTGAATTCGCTCAAATAGTAGAGTGTCGCGCCGAGGGCGCGATGTGCCTCGACTTCAAACGCTGGGTTTTCTGCTTGCTTGGCAATAGCAACGCAAGCTTCGCCGAGTTCACGGGCGGAGAGGAGTCGTCCGCGGACGAGATGAGAGAGCCACAACCCGAACAGCACCGGGAATCGGAGATCTTTTATACGATCAAGCAAGACCTCGGATCCATCTACTAAGGAGACCTCCTCCCTTTTTTCAAGTGTTTCCAGCAGCTCGCGTGCGCGTGTATAGGCAACTTCCACCTCCGGCGAGGCATATCCTTTGGTCGCGATCAGTGCGGTACCGAGTGTTGTTTGCAACTCCAATTCACGGCGTTCGACGGCTTCCTGCAGTTCCGGTGTATTGATATTCGTTGAAAGTGTTTCAAGTGCCGCGAGTCCTTGCATGATGTGGCGAACACCTTCTACGTTTGCGGAGCGTTCTAAGGCACGGTGTGCCGCGCTATGCCAATAGTCAATTGCCTTTTCGGGAAGTCCGGCTTCGGTGTAATGATACGCGACGAGTTCCGGTTGGAAGCCGTCCGCGCTCTCCAGCACCTCTGCAATCTGTTGATGATATTGCTGACGTCTGCTTTTTAGCAGCGATTGATAAGCGGTCTCACGCAGAAGCGGGTGCCTAAAGGTATAGCGGAACTGGTTGTCAGCCATTTCATTGCGATTGAGGATGTATGCGTTAACTAATTTGTCCAACTCATCTTTCAGGGATGCGAAATCGGTAAAGATATTATTTCCCAGATCAACTCCGGATGCGATCTTATGAAGTAATCCGCTGTCCACTCTCTACCGAGCGTTGCTCCGAGTTGGATGATCTCCTTCGCGGTCCCGAGTTCGTCGAGACGTGCTGTCAGCAAATCTTGTAGCGTCACAGGCACCCGCATTGTTTGGGACTGCGGACTGGTTGCCTCCAATGCATCGGAGGAAGGAGCCAACGCGTCGCCTTCGAGCATCATCTGCGTGAGTTCCTCAACAAACAGCGGGACACCCTCGGTCATTTCGACGATCTTCGTCAATAGATTTGATGGCAGTTGCGTATCGCCTGCAACGTGCTGAATCATTGTTTCGACTTCGGGCGGTGTGAGTGCCTCCAACGGCAGTGTCTTCGCCCATGCAGGTTGCAGCAGTTTCTCCAAAGTTTCTCTGTCTAAAGCAGCGTTTGTAACATTCTGGTCGGGAACGGTCTGTGAGTTTCCATCTTCATTAGCCTGTACATTGTGCCGAAAATGGTGTGTGTCAGAGCGACAAGACAGGATTGTGAAAATTCTGGCGTTTTCGATCTTTTCGATTAAGAGTGTGAGAAATTCTATACTCGACGGATCCACCCAGTGGAGGTCCTCCACGACGAAGAGTATGGGTTTCTGTTCTGACATCTCCAGTAGTACTTGGACAAGCACATCCAACATCTGTTGCCGTCGTTGTCTTCGTCTCCATTCTGATGGATATGTATCTCGCTCGATCGGTCTACTGTACGGACGGGCACCGGTGCCGGTTTCCGTTTGCCGCTGTATCTCAAAAGGTATCTCCAATAATTCAGCGAGGAGTGGGAGTGTTTCCGGCGGATGCGCTTGGGTTTCTGCATCTTGTCTGACAGTCGAGATGTTATAGTCACGCAGCAAATTTTCAAGTTTTTCAAGTCTGTCTGTGCAGTATCTGTGCTTGTAAACTGTACAACGTGTTCTTGGAACAGCGAAAGGATAGGATACAGTGGACTATTCTGGTAATACGGTGAGCATCTACCTTCTAAGGTAACTGCATCCGGGTGGCTCTCAACATGCTCCTGAATCAGCTGCACACATCTCGATTTTCCGATGCCGGCTTCTCCTTCAATAAGGAGTGCTTGTCCGTTGGCTGCAAGTGCTTGTGCCCAACCTTGTTTGAGAAGTTCAACCTCTCGTTCCCGTCCGATAAGCGGTGTCAATCCGCTTTCACTGGCAATATCCAGTCGGCTTTGCACCGGGATTTCACCTGACACTTGGTAGATGTTCACAGGCTGTGAAATACCACGGAGCGCGGAAGCACCGAGTGCGTCGCACTTAAAAAAGCCCTCAACCAATTGATGAGTTGTATCGCCAATCACAATGTTGTTCGGTGCTGCCAATTTTTGCATTCTCGCTGCGAGATTCGGTGTTTTACCAACGATGTCAATCGCTTCGGGGGATTCCTGCGCTGAGATGTGCCAAACGACAACACGTCCTGTATCAATACTGATCCGAACGTTAATCTCTACGCCGAAGGTTTTGTGGAGATATGGATTCAGGGTTTCTATAGCGGCGACAATACCTAACGCGGCTCTCACAGCACGATGCGCGGCATCTTCGTGTGTGATCGGATAGCCGAAATAAACGAGGACACCATCACCGAAATAGCGAGCAATGTGCCCGTTTTGTGCTAAAACCACCTCCATGATACAGGTTCGATATACCTCTAAAAGATTTCGGAGTTCTTCAGGATCCAGTTGTTCGGTGAATGCGGTGGAGTCAACAATATCGCAGAAAAGGACAGTTAACTGTCGGCGTTCTGCCCCGTGTGGCAACGTCTGTTCAATAGAGGTCGTATCTGATGTTGAGGATTCGTGAGAACGCGAGGTGCCATCGAGTGGCATACCGCATTCACCGCAAAATTTGAACGGTGGATTCAAAAAACCACAACTTGCGCAGAGTTTGTGCTGCATACGCGGCCTCCTCCTCCTCCAAACTGTCATGCACAGAAGAACTTCTTTTCACTATCGCGAAACGTTACTTCCTGAATTGATTCAGGTATTCTCCCAACTCGGCATCGCGTGGATCCAACTTGTATGCTTCTTGATAGTAATCGATTGCTGTATCGGTTTTGCCTACCCTCATAAAAAATGAACCGAGATTTCTATAAGCAACGCTGTGCGTCGATTTCAGATCCAAGGCGTACAAGTAGCTGTCACGGGCTTTCAACAGGTAAACCTTCGTTTCTCCAATGAGAACATTAATCGTGATTTCATTCTCCCACCGTTGTCTATATACCTCTCCACCGAGTTGTTTCGCCTCATCCTCGATAGCGTCAGCGACGGCTTCATCGCGTGTTTTGAACATGATTGCGCCGGATGTTGTTTTATCAATAGCGATTTTGAGCTCTGCCACCGCTTCGTCAGGTGCTTCGTCTCTCAATTCCTTTTCCCATGAGGGCCAATTCGGTCCAGCGAATTTAAGTCCTTGTTTGTAGTACACGGCTCCAAGGTCGTTAAAGATTTCAGCGTTTTCGGGACGCATCTTCATCGCTTGGGTGTAAAGTTCAATGGCTTGTTGATATTGTCCGGCGTTGAAGGCATCTGTGGCATGGGTGCGGATCTGTTTGAACTCTTCGCTTTCCAAATTGACAGCGATGCCCAACTCCGATTTGTCCCCGACGAAAAAGTAGATGCTGCCAATGAGAAGAATAGCAAGACAGACAGCGATGAGTGTTGGTAGTTGCAATTTCATATTTTTAATCATTCCCCCTGATGATTTATTCTGTAACATCTACCCCAACTTGGCGTGCTCCAAGAATTAGTAAATTGCTACATCAACCTCTTAACTGATAACTATAAGAACACTTATCTCCGCCGATTGTTTCTATTAAAAGTGACAGGGATGGCTTGATGGACACCGTCTCGCTCAAAATAGAGTAGTGTCTTGTATTGTGACCGGATATTTTCATCAACGATTTTAAAAATTTCGAGCGAATGAATTTTAGTGTCGTCAATTTGATAGATGAGGTCCCCGCGCTTAAGCGCGTTCGTCAATCCGCTCTCTTTATCAACGTGTGTGATAATAATGCCGGGCATCTGATATTTGTGCGCCATCGCCTTGTCAGGTTGGGCAAGTGTAATTCCCCAACCGGGGGGTGTATAATTCCATTGTCGAGTTTTTAGCGTGAATTCAGTTTGCCGCTTTTTACCGCGACGGTTGAACTCGCACTTTATAGGTTGATTGAGCGGGAGCAGACGTGTGAGCGCGTAAAAGTCCTCTTTATTCTTTATCCGGTGCCCTGAAATGCTTTCAATAACATCACCGCGTTTAATACCTGCCTTTGCGACAGGACTCCGTTTCTCTATTTCTGACACTAAAACCCCGATATTAAGCGGTGTTGACAATTTTTCTGCTAATTCCTCAGTTATGGTTTGCACTTCCATAGCGAAATAAGGCGGTATAACGCTGCCGTATTCGGTAATTTGTTGAACGACTTTTCTTGCCTTGTTGACAGGAATGGCGAAACCGACCCCTTGTGAACCGCCGCTGGTTGAACGAATAACGGTGTTTATACCGATGAGTTCACCGTGTATGTTTACCAACGCGCCGCCACTGTTACCCGGGTTGATGGAGGCATCTGTCTGAATCAGATTTTCATGATAGCGGTTTTCGACGGTCAAGGCGCGTTGCGTTGCGCTCACAATGCCAGCCGTAACAGTAGGTTGAGCGTTGCCTATTGATAAGCCGAACGGGTTTCCGATAGCAACGACCCACTCCCCTATCAAGAGAGAATCCGAATCTCCCCACTGGATCTCCGGTAGGTTTGTGTCTCTGTCTATCTCCAAAAGCGCAAGGTCTGAGAGATAGTCGTATCCCATGACCTGTGCTGTAAACTCCTGTCCATCGGAGATGGTAACAGTGATGTTATCTGCGCCTTCAATGATGTGATGATTCGTCAGGATATGTCCCTTCTTGTCAATAATGACACCGGAACCGATTTCTCGGAGCGAGTGCCTGCGCGTCGTAGGAATTTCGCCCCAAAACCATTCATCAAATGAGGTTTGTCTCTCACGGACAGCACTTATGTTAACGACTGCTGGACTGGCTTTTGCTACTGACGTAACGATTGCGGTACGTCGTAATGTGGTTACTGCATTTTGTGCAGCCTCTTTGCTGAATTCAGCACTGTCAGCACTGTTACAAAGCGTGCCTACGAATATAGGAGACAGACACAGGAACAGTAGGACGATACAACTATAATGACGATATAAACGTATCATAATCTACTTTTTATCGCAACTTTTACTTTTCCACACCTTAATGTGTCAACTTCAGAGAGATGCGATACCCCTCTAACCCCAGATCAGTATCAACGATTTCTTGGACAGCATCCGATGTCCGCCGTTTGGCGGGAAAATCATCGGCATTCGCACATCGTAGTGCGATCCTTGCGCCGACTGCACTCGCGGCACGTAAATCCTCTAATTTCTATCTTTTCCAGTGTGTCATAAGCCGTATGACCGAAACCCCTGCCAGAGGGCGGTGCCTCCGGGTCACCGACGTGGCACGAAGGGACACCCTTTAAAAAAAATGGGAAGTGGTCGGAATAGGAATGCACTTTCTGTCCGATTGGCATTTCAACATGCATCTGCTCGCGCGCTGTATTGAAAAACGGTCCTAATGCGTCCCAACGGTGTAGAACGATGCCTTTACGACTTGCACCACCCGCTGCATCCATATTGAGCATGAACCGGATGTTATCCAACTCCGAGTCATGTGCATCGACATACCGAAACGCGCCTGTGAGTCCGATTTCCTCTGTGCCAAAGGCGATGAACCGGATGGTACGTTTAAGCGAATCACCAGCGTATGCGGACAGGACACGGGCGGCTTCTACCACGGATACCATGCCTGAGGCAGGGTCATGCGCCCCTTGCGAAATATCGTGTCCGTCGTAATGGCAACCCACAACCACCATCTCTTCACCGTTTTCAGAACCCGGTAAATCCGCAACGACGTTCCATGACGTGCGCGGTTCGTTAATGTCCGTGGTTTGAAGTTTCAGCGTCACTTTCCCTTGTTTCCGTTCCAAAAGCCGCGTCAAGAATTCGCCGTCCTCTTTGCAAACAGATATACCCGGAATTGGTGCGGGTCTATTATTTTGGAGACTCCCTGTTTCGGGACCGACACCCGGGTGTTCACTGACGAAAATGAACCCGCTCGCACCAGTGAGGACCGCGCGTTCAAACTTCTCCTTACGGTGTACCCATCTTCCGAGGTCAGGCGGTGAAGAACTTTTCGCCATAACAAGGGTATTGGCAGCGGTATCACCAAGTGCTTCATATTCCGCGGACTTCCGTGTCCGGCAGAGACCAATTCGGTCGTGATGTCGCCAGCGGGGCAGTATGGGAGCGAGATGCAATGCAGTGTTCGGCGGATAGGTTCCAGCACCTCAAGGGTTGCCGTGCCACGCGTCCAACCGGCATAAGGATAATCTTCAAATCTGACGTTCTGGAGCCCGTATCGTTTGAAGCAATCTGCAATGAAGTTCGCGGCTTCATATTCCTCTGGGGTTCCAGCGAATCGTGAACCGTATTCATCACATAAGACGGTCAGATTGTCCATCACCTCTTGCGAAGTATAGATATCACCGACCATCTGTCCGGTCGATCTGCAAGTAAGGGTTCGTTTTGCTCATAAGTTTCGGTGTTCTCTTGATTTTCGACAGTTTTGGACGGTAGCGATTCCATTCTTGTGTTGGCAATCTTTTTTAATTGCCATGGATCTAATAGCTGAATGCGTCGAAACCGTTTCTCAAGGATTTTGTGCTCTTTAAACTGGTTTAGGAGTGCTTCTGTATTTTCGACAGAGCAACCGATTAATTGTGCTATTTTTTTTGTCGAAAGTTTGCGTAAGGTACATTGTGAACCGCGTCCGATAGTTGTGCGATTTCGCTTCGGTGCATTGGCGTAGTTTTGTAACACCAGTGCGAGCCGCGATGCGGGACTCCGAAACGCAATGTTTGGAAACGGGTTGGTTATTCCACTTCGCGATTGCCCTCGTGTCTTGGTTAAATCAATAGCGTTTGATGCTTTAGCAGATGCCCACTTGGATTTTGCAATATCGGAAATCCGTAAACGACATCTTACAGCATCTATAACAGACCGGATACGCTGAAGCAGTGGACGTTTAAACGGCATCGCTAAATGAATTTTTCGTTTCAGAAAGAATTGGAAGTTCTTTGCGCTAACGATACCGACAACCACTTCCGTAAGTGTTTCGGCAGTGACGTTCCGACTTGCTTCGTTGTCGTCCCACTTGACTGCGCCAAGGATTTCACCCGGTTCCAGGACCTCTAAGGTGACAGGTTCTCCTTCAGACGGTGTTTCATAGATTTTGACGCGTCCCTCCCTCAGTAGGTAAACGCCTTCGGTAGAAATGGTGTCGCCATATTTCAATTGTTTGAAGGTCGTTATCCGTTCGAGCGCGTTTGCGTCGTCCTCGGCAAGGTCGCGGAAGATATGTATCTGTTTCACGCACCAGAATCTTTCTGGGATTTTTTGTTGTGTCACCATGCTATGATCTTTCCATCAGTTTCTGGTTAAACATGTATGCTTTTGAGGCTATGGACTGTGATCGCTTGCCGAAAAATTTCAGTCTGCTTTGTCCTTAATTATACTATAGTTTGGACAATTTTTTAGAATGTTTAGGTGATAAACTGGATTGAGAAATACCTTAGACATCTGTCGAAATTCAGCATCTTTTTTATACACATATCGCCCCGCTGGGGAACCTATCCTTGGGGGGCGATAGCGTTTCTATAAACATTCTGAAAAAACACCCAAGCAAAAACCCCCGCTGGGGCTGCGCTTTCTGTTTTGACACGCCTTTTTTCTATGCGGTGGATCAACGAAAGAAAACACGTAATATTAGACAGGTTTTCGGTGAAAGCGGCTCCGACTGTTGATGAATGGGTGGCAATAGTATTCAGATTCTCCAAACTATAGTCTATTTAAAACCGATGAGGTCTCGGACGTTAAAGTTTGGTGGGTCTGCATTTAACACTGCATTTTTAACTTTGGCGATAATTTTATCTAAAACGAGTCGGTCCGTGTTTCGACGTGCGTCTTGTTCGCTTCGTAAAAATGCAGACCTGTTATCAATTTCGTGTAGGATTTCATTTTTAGTTTGCTCATCACATTCGGGTCGATTTGGGTTGACGGTTCGCATTCGTCCGCCAAGGTGTTCACGATTTTGGGTTGTATCTTCTACATTGACTATAGTTTGGACAGTTTTCAATAGGTTGGGTTAAACCCAACACAGGTTCCCCAGAACTTCTATATTTGGTAAAGAGGCAGTGCCTTTCCTTTCACGGCACATAGCACTCCGCAGGAGTGCGGGAGTTTGGTTCTACTTTTTACTATTCTCACTGCGAAGCAATGGGACACCGCAGGAGTGCTGGATTTTTCTCAAAGTTCCATGCGTATGCGAAACTCGCGGAAAAATACAGAGTCCCTTGAAAACTCAACTTACACGCGACACGAATTGTCCAAACTTTAGTTAATTATACCAAATATATTGCCAATAAAGCAAGGAAAATATGGTTAGAACTTTCTATTCTGTAGGAGGGGATCTCCGAATCCCGACTTTCCAACGAAAATGCATAAAAAGCCTAAAACTAAATAGCCCTACATTAGGCGATCCAAGTTGACACCTACAAACGGCATTGTTTGTATCGTGTCATTAGTTTTCATCGCATTGTTTTAGCCCCAGCGGGGCGATAGGTGTGTAGCAGCTCATCACCATAGGTGTAAATTTAAGGACTTCTCACGGTTTTTATGGCAGTGCCGTAGGTTGGGTAGAACGGAACAGAAAAGGGAGATGTGGGTGTGCCAAATACCGCTCAAATCCAATAGGCTGCCCTATACACTCAAGAACATAGTGAAACCCAACTTCATACCGTCAGAGTCTCGGAAACGGCAAAAGCATTGGGTTTCACTCTGTTTCTGTTTGATGTGGTATGTATGGAGAGAACTGCTTTTTTTATTGCTTTTCAGGGTTTTGATGGAGTCCGTTCTACCCAACCTACGATGCCATGATGAGGTTTTTTCTTAAATTGACACCTATGGGTACACCGCAAAACCGCACCATAGGTGTCAATTTAGATATTTCGCGGTATTTTGTAGGAGCGTCTCTACAGAGGTTTCCGCCCCTCTGGGGAGACCTGGGTTTTTGGTTGCTGAACGTTTCTACACAAATGCCATCCCTCTGGGATTCAAAAGGTTTTCGCTCATGTAAAAAGTATGTGCGATTGTTTCTAACGAAGGTAGTCACCACGCGGGTTTGACATCTTCATTAGCACACAGTCTTTACATGAGCCAAGGTTTTTTGGGGTATACACAGTTTGTGTCTCAGACCCGGTTCGGTTAGGAATGCAGATCGCATTTGGGCGTGTACGCCGCAAAACCGCACCTACCGGGCCTGGGGACCGCTAAATTGACACGTATGGTGAACGACTCAAGCAAAGGGAGCGTTTGTGGGACAGTGGTAACCTGCAGTGTCTCTGTGATGGCTGCGTCAAGCGTTGCCTTGAGTGTCTCGGCGGTTTCGGGCGTTAGGCGTTGCGCAATGGCTTACCGAGAGACGTTGATCCCAAGCGTGCTGGCAGTCTCAGCGAGTTCATGATAACTCGCCTCCGAATTTTCTAACCAGCCAAAGACGAGGATCTGTGTCAGGGCACTCCCGGTGAGTTTGCGGTTTCTTTTTACCATGCCAGCCTCTACTGCTGCTTTATCCGCAAGGGGCCTAAGAATTGTTTGCATTTTATCACTGACTTGTTGTAAAATGGACATTGGAAACACCTCTTTTGTAGAATCACTTGAATCCTTTTTCTACATTATGCGAGAGGTGTTTCTATTTCGCAACACTTTTTTAATGACTAAAAATACACAGACTTTCCCTTAAATTTACACCTATGGTGTAATCTCGGCCACATCATGCAGAGCCATTTGTCATGCTTCTCAAGGTCTTCGTTGTCAATAGGACTATTCTCCTTGAACCATGTCTGCATAAGTGGACTTTTGACGTTGTCGTTATACTCCCAATCTTCTTTGCCAGTGTTATAGGGTGGGTCAATGTAGATACACTTGATACGGTTTTTGTAGCGAGGCAGTAATGCTTTTAGAGCATGTAGGTTATCGCCGTGAATGATAAGGTTATCGTCTTCACCGGTTGGGTTGCAGGAGCGGCTTTCGTCAGTTTCAAGTGGATGGTAGGGAACAGTGAGGTGGTGGGTATAGATATGGTGTTTTCCGTTGAATTCAAGTGTTGGCATGGGCAGCTCCTTTTCGGTTTATCTGTGTTATTGACGTGAAATATCTCTTTCGTTAATTTTTCCAATCTTCCAAACGGAGCCCTAATCCAACTATTCTTTCATAATCAGAATCGGAAGCAACCAGAATTGCATCAAGAGTTAAAGCTGTAGCAGCAATCCAAAGGTCGCATTCACCTAAAGACGTTCCTTGTTCTTGCGCCGCAATTTTTATCTGGGCATAGACATCACCAACCCTCTCTGGAATTGGGTCACACGGTACTGTAGCAAATAGTTCATTTGCTCTTTGTTCAAGGTCTTGTCGTCTTTTTCCATCAGGGAGACGAACAATTCCGAAGAAAATTTCACCCTTAACGATGGGACAAGTAAAATGGTAGTCCGACTCGGTTAGCGAATCTAAACGCCCTTTTACTCTGGGATTGTCCTGCATCAACAAACTACATGTTGATGTATCCAAGAGATACTTATTCATTATTTATTACTTTCATCCGAATCAAAGGGCGAATCAAACTTTATGGGTATTTCCCCCTCTTTTATTGACTGCTGCAGTGCCTCAATATCTTCATCAGTGAGATGCGGTGGCTTTTCCATCACTTTGATGAGGCGTTGTGCAGCGGGGTTTTTTCTTACTGTATGTTTCTGATCTGATTCTGTCCAACTGCGAAACTCCTGTAAAATTTCAGGTGCCACTCTGGCTGAAACAGCGGGATGTGCCGCGAGTAGAATCTGAGCAATTTTTTTCTTACCAGCCTCACTACTATTGCAGGCTTGTTCAATTTCGGGCACTGTAACCATAGGCATTTTCAATGCCGCGCGAAATTTTATTTTTTCAAGCCATTGTACAGAAAGCAGTTCTGCTAAACCTGTCACAACAGGGTCTAGCCATGTTAAATTATTAATGACAGCTTGCGCAATGAATGCATGTGCATAAAAAAGGTGTTTTGGATCCGTTTTGCTATTATAAACAATCTTTAATGCTGCTACAAGCCGTTCCATAGGTTCGGTATCTTGTGCTTCTATCATTGTTAGAACGTTGTTTTGCTTTCTTAATAACGTTGTTTCAATCAAATCAAGAGTAGCAAACACTTTTTCTTTTATAGGGAGTTCAGACGAATTTGTACGCCATATAGCTAGGATTTCATGTGTATTTGCGTCTGTTAATAATTGGACAAGGAGAGATGATACCAACATAACAGTAATGTTTGCAACAGAAGTGAAATCAGGGGGATTGGGAATAGATATAGAATTAATTCCTTGATCTCTAATTCCCGTCTCATTTTGCTGATATTTCTGTATCGAGTTACACGTATCTGCCAGTTGATGTATACGCTGTGGTAACGTATCGAAAGTTTTGTTTCTAAAATCATATTGTACTTCAAGGAAAGAAAGGAAGAAATTCAACATTGGATGTTCTTCTCGGTCTGTGGTTTGCAGGGCGTGTTGGAAAACTGTCGTCTCATGCCCAAATCTGTACTCAATTTGTGCAAGGTCGGCCCAAGAGTATCCTATCGGAGAATCAGGTAAGTCTAAAACTTTTTCTTTAGTCTCCGGATCACTACAGAAACCTGCAGAGGGTTCAGTAAGTTCTGAAGAGTTATTTTCAAGTCCGCACCATATCACCCATATCCATTTTATAATGTATTCTAAACGTTTCTTTAAAGTGAAATACTTGACGTTTGTATTGTCTTGAGGTAGTGTCTCAAAATTTTGCAACGCCAAATGTAGGAACTTTATGCAGTTCAACATATTGCCTGCTTTAAAGTAGGCAAATCCTGCATCTGCATATAGACTGATATATCTTTCAGTATTTTCAATCTTTTGAGTTTTGTTAGCTCCCTCTTCAAAAAAGCAGGCTGCTTTTTTCCAATCGTCCAAGTAGGCTGCACATATAGCGGTTCTCCGATATTCCTCTAAAGGCCCGATGTTTAATTGCTCTGAAGGTGGATTCCATTTTGGGAGAATACGTTCATAAATATTGAGTGCGTCTTTGTAGCGTTTCTGGTTAAAGTATACGACTGCTTGTGCTTCTTCTATCGTTGGTAAAGTACCAAGTTTTGATATAATATCTTGAAGAACTTTATGAGCGGTATCTGGGTCGCTCAATTTTTCGTCATGGGTGATGGCTTTAATTCTTGCTGATGCAGCAGCGATATATGGATAACCCCATGCAATAGTTTTTTCAATTACTTTATCAAAAGCTTCAAGACATCTTGTCCAATTAGGATTTTCAAACTTTTCCTCTGTTAACCAAACTCCATTATTCAAAAGTTGTGATTGAATGGTATCATTCTCAAAGTCAACCAATAATAACGTTCTAATTCTTGGATCAAGTTTATCCAGTGTATCAATAAGTTCATTGAGGAAAACAGCGTTAATTTCTGGACGCATATAGATAAAACTAAATAGGAAACTGAAAAAGTTTGATTCATCAATGTTTATTACTTTTAATCCTTCCATGGAATTAAAGTATGACTTCCAAACCTTTTTGTCCATGTTTTTGATATCAATAATTTCTTTAAGGTAACCTACCAGTTTCTTGGCTGGTAGTGTCACTTGATTATATTTGAGTATTTCTGTTGCTAACATGAGACGAGACAGCAAGTATGACTGTCGGGGTTCATAAGGTTTGGTTTCCTTATCCCAAATTTCAAGTATCTTTGGTACTAACTCTGGTCTTACCTCAACTGCAATTCGATACTGCAATGATCGAAACATTTGATTTACAAAGGCATCGCCAGGGAATAATTCTTCGGGAGGATCAATTTTAATGTGTGCTAACAACGAGAATTCTTGGCAGAGATTTTTCCAATCCTCCTCTTGAGAAGTCATCAGGGCATGAATGACAGAAATAAATCCTCCTTTGTTTTCTCCAATCATACTATGTGTGAACACAGCCCAGGTCTCTATTGTGGTCAACTTTTTGTTTTGAGGATTGCGTTTGCAATATTGGCATGAAGCCTTTTTATCGTGTTATCAGACCAAACTGCTTTGGCTGCGTTCGCTAATAAAGGTGAAATAGTATAGTAGTTTCATTGACTTGATCTATCCAGGGACCGACCAATTGACTAAAAATATCTCCTGGGTGTGGTATAGGTACAGGTATCTCACCAATGTTAATCGCATAATCTTTTCTGAATTCAGTTAGCAAGCTGAGTCTATAGAGAAATTCACGTTTATCTTTTGGGTAGTCAGCGAGTAATTGTCGTGCTGCTTCACGTTCTTTTTTCACTTCTTGGGGTGTTTGTATTATACTTTCGATTGAATCTGGTTGTTTCCATCCTTCCTCACGTAATCGAGCGAGTCGAGCATGTACAAGCCTTGGATGTCCCCTCGTATGTGCTTGAATAAACGTTGTCCATATTTTCAAATCACTAGTCGGACACCTCATTTGTAGTGCAAATTGTTCAATTTCAGGCATGGTAAAGTTGGGAACATCAATTACAACGTTGGATGATGCGCCGAGTTGGCGGATGAGATCGCTGGGCGGTTCATGTTGCCTTGTTATTAACAATTTTGCCCCACGTTCCAGTAACCTATAAGCTACAACACCCAAGTCTTCTTCATACTCTTGCAACTCTTGCGGTGTAATCAGTCATGCAATGACGACAGTTTCACTTGTGCAGATTCATGACTTACTGTATTAGCAAGTTTCTTTAAAATTACGGGAACTTGGGATGAATCTATATTTGTCAATTTTAGCCAGAACCACTTGCCCTCTATAGCGTTTGCGGTCAAATTTGCTAGTGTTGTTTTTCCCTTGTCTACTCCACCTTGAATTATGACTATACTCTCTGATTGGAGTTTGGTTTGGATATTTGTGAGTAAGTCTATCCTCTGGGTAACATTGGGATAGAGTGGAGGTATGGTATCCTGTATCGGAGATTGAATATTGATGTTAATATCAGGTGAATCGGCGATGAGTGCTTCTTTGATATGATTGAGAATCGCCTTTAGTCCAATAGGTTGGTGTGTCTTAGTATTCTGAATAGGAATGCTTATCCTTGTGTTTTCTGCAAAAATTTTGAGAAAACGCTCTCGGGTAAGTTCACGATTTTCCTCTTGTGTTGCAACTGTTAAGGCTTCTTTGAGAAGATGATCAACAACTTTTTGGGCATCAGCATGTGGAATGCTGTAACGATCACCATGATAAACAAGTTTTTTACGTATAGATTGCTCAACATAACTTATGGGTGTGCTGTCCGTTTCCCAAGTAATAGGTTCAATGAGTTGTTCATAAATTTCTGAAGTGATGATACCTTCAGAAAATCATTTACTTCCTTTGATATTTTTCCATCAGTCTGTAAAAAGTCAGATATTTTTGTGATAGCTGCTTCATCACCGGAACAACGGCTCCATACTTCGAGCCCCGGTTTATCTGTTCCAAGTGAATTACCTGGTTCCTTAACTATCTTAGATGTTGTGAGAAGACGGAATTTCACACACCGATTAGAATTTTCATTTCGCAATTTCCAAAAGTTATTGATTGCGTCAATCACTTGCTCAGATCTAAGTGATATGTTGCGTTGTGTATGTTTGACTTGCGTTGCTGTAGCAGCGTCACCTGATACTTTGTCAAGATCCTCCGCTCCTTCCAGATAGAGTATTTCATCATCGGCAAGTTCCAACCAAGCATTTACACTATGCCATATCTGATAGAGGTATCCTCTTAATTGGGCATGTGCTTGACGCTTGGGATCCCCTTTTATAGGTCCTTGGTGAAGCACCTTGAGTTGAGATGCAAGGAAACTAAGACACTTATACATTTGCCCATTGTCATCGCTAAATTCAACCTCAAATGCTTCGCCATTTGAAAGGATTTCAACAACCGTGCCGACTTCTCCGCGCTTGAGATTATGTTCAGGTACGTCTTGTGTGAGCGCGACGACATTCAGAAGCTTGATTTCGCCTTTTTCTATAGGTTCTTGGTTGCGTTCAGGCGAACTATCTATATTTGAGGTGTTGTCGGAAAATTTATTTTTCATAATTTATCCTGATTTATCAACGGAAACGCGGTTGTCAATTTTGGGAGGTCAGAATCAGTTTCAATGATCCAACCACTCTGAATTGTCGCTTGTTTATCCTGCTTTAGGATTTGGTTGTGCTTCATCGGTGCATTCAGGTTTAAGAATCAAGCCACCCTTTTCGTCTTTTTATGAAGTTTCCGTGATCGTCGGTGAGGAAATCACGTTTCTCTTGCCGTTTTATATCCTCACACAGTGCGCGTAAATCATACTGAAACGAGGCAGCCCACTCGTCGCGAATCCGGTGAATTTCCTCAATAATCGGATCTTTCAACATTTCAAGAAGCCTCGAACAAAAGTTCAAGTGGTGTGTAAATAGTTGTCGGTGTATAAAAAATATTGACCTCACCGTTATAGGCACCAATGAGGTCGGTGAATTATGGACGTGGAATTCTTAACTGTTTACAGATATCTCTTGCAAGTACATCGTCAATTTCAGTGTGCCTCGGCACGGCGGTCCGAGTGCCTAATTCCGGATTACCCCATAAGGAGTGCTTACTGCCTTCCCGAAGGAGATCGCACCCGTGCTTTCTGAGATGTCTGATCAACTGTACACGTTTCATACAGCGATTTTTACTTCCTCATACTCGCTTTCAGCTCGGCGAACTGCTTCCTGCGAGTCATAGTCTAAGACTTCGAGAAGTGTGATTCTCAACGTTTCCAATAATTCTTCTCGCGTCCTTTCTTGACAAGTGACTCCAGATACTTCTCGTATCCAACCGATCCACCACTCACCGCGGCGTTGGATCTGTGCAGTATAGTACGCTTGCATAACAATCTCCTATTGTTAATTCGGTTCAGAGACATTTAGTTCTCCAGAAAGAAAAACCCAATAGCTCTGAACAAGGGTCAGCGTCTTGCCTAAGGAATATAATCGCGCAACCTGTGTGATTGTGAATTCGTATTTATGGTGATTGTTCCTCACGGTTGCTGTCAATATCCTGTGACGATATTCTTAATTATACACGCTGATAGCCTAATTGTCAACACCAAAATTCGCTAAAGATGCCATGAATTTGGATGTTCTTCTCGGTAACGGACGGGCGGATTGACGAACGAGGAATGGCGAGGTTAGAAACCTCGCCAGCGAAGAAAGAAGAAGTCAACGATGGCGGAAAGGCGCGGTTGGGAAACTTCGCTAACGGTGTGTTTTCTATGTCAAAAAGCGGTGGTAGATGAGGGTTGTGAGGATCTTGTAGCCTGCTTTGAGGGTGCCGGTGAATGTGCCGGTGATTTTGGAGGTCCCGATGCGCTTGCGATAACGGACAGGTACTTCGCATACAGGAATTCCTTGTTTCGCGGCTTTGAGCTGCATCTCGACTGTCCATCCGAAGGTTTTGTCTTGCATGTTCAGGTTCAGTAGTTCAGGGTATCGGATGGCTCGAAAGGGACCTAAATCTGTATAGCGGACCCCGAAGAAACGGCGTATCAGGAAACAGGCGAGCCAATTGCCGAATCGTGCTTGTGGGAGTAACGCGTCTCGTGCGTCATCCTGCGTCCTTGCGCCGATGACGAGTGTGGCCTCGCCGTTGCGTATGGGTTGTAGGAGTTGCGGCATGTCCGTTGGATAGTCGCTGTAGTCACCATCCAGGAAGACGACGATATCGGGTGGTGATGTTATGAGGGCATCAATTCCTGCGAGACAGGCATATCCGTATCCCCGCCTCGGTTCAGTTACAACCCGCGCGCCGCTCTGCACTGCGATTGCGGCGGTGTTGTCCGTGCAACCGTTGTCAACGACGATGATTTCTTGGATTGTGGTCTCCTCGTTGTACCCTGTTTTGGGAATATCGGCGATGACTTTGGCAATGGCATCCTCTTCGTTGAGGACTGGGATGATGACTGAGACTGTTGGCATGATGTCGCTCTTGCCCGATGCCATTTCGTTTTCGTTTTTGCGGGTTTTGTGTGGGAAGTCGCGACCAGGAGGTCGCTCCTACAAGAAAAGATGGTTAGTCAACCTACGGGATTCAAGAGGTTAAGGTGACGATTTTCTACACAGATGCCTCGTTGATGGCGCGGTTGCAAACCGCGCCTACCAGCATATAGTTCACCATGAATGCTACAACCTTGCAGCGGGTTCTTTCACCGTATCGAGTAGGCGTTGGATGACGGTGTCTGAATCAACACCTTCAGCCTCGGCATGGAAATTGGTTAAAACACGGTGGCGCAAGACTGAGGGCGCGACAGATTTCACGTCTTCACAAGAGGCGTTATAACGTCCGCGTAGAATTGCTCGGGCTTTAGCACCTAAGATGAGGTATTGCCCAGCACGGGGTCCCGCGCCCCAGCGTACCCACTGTTGAATGAAATCGGGGGCATCTTCCTCTTTCGGACGCGTCGCACGCGCGATTTTCACAGCATATTGCACCACGTTGTCAGCGGCGGGCACACGCCTCACAATATTATGAAGTGCTACGATAGCGTCCCCGGACAGTGCGGTTTCAAGTTCAGGAATCTCCGCTCCGGTCGTTGCTGAAACGATGTCTGTCTCTTCTGTCTCTGTTGGGTAGTCGATGACGATTTTGAACATAAACCGATCCAACTGTGCCTCTGGAAGTGGATATGTCCCCTCCTGCTCAATCGGGTTCTGTGTGGCGAGCACAAAGAAGGGTTGTTCCAGTTGGAATTCGTTGCCGCCAGCGGTGACGTGATACTCCTGCATTGCTTCCAAGAGTGCGGCTTGTGTTTTCGGGGGTGTTCGGTTAATCTCGTCAGCGAGGAGGATGTTTGCGAAAATCGGTCCCTGAATAAACCGAATCGAGCGATGTCCGGTTGTTCTGTCTTCTTCGAGTACATCTGTGCCAGTGATGTCGGCAGGCATCAGATCCGGGGTAAATTGGATTCGCTTGAACTTAAGGTCCAGAATTTGTGCCAAAGTCCGAATCATAAGGGTTTTGGCGAGCCCTGGGACACCTTCTAACAGGCAGTGCCCCCCAGCAAAAAGTGCCATCAACATCTGATTGATAACTTCCTCTTGCCCAACTATAACTTTTTTGAGTTGTGCCAAGATAAGTTCTTGGCTCTCCATCAATTTTTCTATCGCTTGAACTTCTTCTGTTGCTGGCATTTTTTACTTGTTTACCTCTTTTTTTAGCCTTCAGCAGCCAGCAGTCGACGGTCAGTTAAAGAGCCATCTGATTCATCAAGACTCTCTTTGTACCTGATTGCTGACTGCCGATGACTGACTGCTGTTAAAACTCTTGTGTTAATATGAACCGTTTTGTGCCTCGGTTTGAAGCGATTCTGACGACATCTTTGAGATGCAGGATGTTGTCCGGTGTGACCCTTGGGGTCAGGAAACGGATCGTCTGATGCATTTCGGCTTTGCGTTTGGATTTGGAGTATCGGAGTTGAATTTCCGCAACATCGGTTTTTAGTGTCTGCTCCTCGGGGACAATATCTATCTTAAAGGGTGCTTCCGTACTGACAGTGATTTTGTTCTCAAGAGTGAGTGCCTTGCCAATAGCGGCCGGATACATTCGGCGTTCTTCGCTCAGTAATTCCGCGTAAGGATGCTTGACGAGCGGTAATTCAAGGACAAACTGGCTGCCGATCGCATAGAGATATTCCTTGCAGTTCCACGTGAGTTCAACCTTCAATTCGCCTTCCAACTCCGAAAGTTTGGAGACTTTGAAATCTTCTACTTTGGCGCGAGCGTCCAATTCCAATGCTTTGTGTAGGAACTCCGATTTCTCCTCAGCAGTTTGAAGGTGTCCGAGTTGGCTACGTAGTTTCATGTTGAAACTCCCTGTAACCGTTAATTCTTGGCGAACAGAGACACTCATGTCTTTTTTGACCTTGACGTGTGTGTGAACCCGTTTGAGATTCGATGTCGCATCCAGAGATGGACTTTTTTGAAAGCGGTAGAGTTCGTTCTGTATATCGCCAGCTGCACCGTTAGCGGTTTCTGCTTCAGGAGCTTTATCGTCTGTTAAAAAACGCGGGTTAATAATCAATGTCCATCTATCCTGGTCCCCGGCGGGTAGATCACCGAATGCACACGTCTCGGCTGTCGGATCGAGCCAGATGAGGTCGTCGTCTTTGTCGCCTTCGACAACAAGGATCATGTGATTGAAATAGGCGAGCGACGGGACGGCTTCAACCTCTGAACCGCCATCGGAAAGATGGGCGTTGACACCACGCATATCCCCAGCGGAAATGAGAACAGGATAAGCATTAATGCCTGCAGATGCGAGCATCGTGGAAAGGAGTGTTGTTTTGTCCTTACAATCCCCTTTACCGACTTCTAAGACAAAATCAGCAGGGTAGGGTTTGATCGCCCAAATGCCGAGTTCATAACCGAGGTACTGGATGTTCGTTGCGACGTATTCATAAAGCCGTTTTACTTTTTCCTTTCGGGACCAGGTGCCACTAAGGAGTTGCTTTGTTTTTTCTTCGATTTTAGGTGTAATCTCATCCTGTTCCCGAATCAGTGTTGCATACCACGTCGCCAGTTCATCCCAAGAATCGAGGGAGGAGATACTGATGTTATAAGCGAGGTCTTGAGGTGCGGGCATCAAGTATTCATCTTTTAATGCTGGCACATCTCGCGCCTCAAAGGTATAGGTGCGGGTATAGTTATTCTCTGTAGTCGTGGGTTTAATATCAAGGAAAGAACCACCCGATTCGGAGTCTGTGGAGGCCGCTGGTGCCCCTGAAACCTGATAATAGAGATGTTTTTTCTTTGGGATATGTACTGTGAAGCGATAATATTGGACAGGATGCTGCCCTTGGAAATAGACTTGCCGCCAAAATTCGCCTTGCATGACGTGTCCGAGGTTATTCGTGGAATAGGCGTAGTCTATGATACAACCATCGCTCACTTCCGGGAGTGTGAAGTACATCAAACGTGCATCAACGTACAACCCTGCGTCCACAGCACTCGGCGGCGGCACAGTCGCGTATGATTTTGTTTGTATCGAGTTCGACAATTTTGCCATCAGGGGTCAACGTTCGGGCATGATGAATAGTGACATCGTCTCTGCCACGCATATAAGGGATGCTGACTTCGGCAAGACCTTTGCCATCTTCGTTAAAGATTTTAGCGACCCGCCGTGTCGAGTAGATGTAGCGACTCTTTTCATCGATATTGACATCAACGCTATCCGAAAGGATGACGGCACCATCGTTTAGATGGGCTTCTTGAGAGGGTAGGTTATCAATGGCATCTTGGATTGCTTGTTCATCTGCTTCGCTAATGAAGTTGTACGGCAGTGATGATCGACTGGGGGGAGGGATAGAACCATCCGGCTTTACAAGCTCACGCTTGTGTTCGTCGGTTTCGGACGGTACAGTGGGCAATGCATCGGTAAAAAGCGGCGGTTTGCGCGGCTCTGGACTTTGTGCGTCAGTTAAAACCTCTGGTTCGGGCGGTGGACTTTGTAAGGCTGAACGGCGTGTTCCCAAGAACGTTTTTTCGGCGAGAGTGCCGTCATCTGTGCCTGCTACTACACCTGTTAGATTTCGAGTCGCTTTCCCATCGCCGTTATCATCAAGGTGAGGATGTTCAGATTGGAAATTACCGTCTTTTTCATAGAAGTCCTTCGTCCGTGTTTGTAGTGATAGAAACGCCTCTAACAGAGAGATGTCGCCGTTCCTGTCGGTATCATTCGCTGCGGAAAAGAAGGCATCAACGAAGACATCACCGAATCCTGCTTGTAGCGAATAGCCTTCATTTGGTGAACTTGATGTAAGGATAATTCGTCTGGATTTACTCAGTTGCGGCACAAGCTTACCACTATAAGGGAAACCGAAGATTAAAATTTGACGTTCAGCGGGTATGGTATTAATGCGTGTTACATATTCTGCTTCAGTAATATCGCGTCCCTGCAAATTAAACTTCAGGTCTCCTTTGCCGGTGCGAGATGCATGCCCAAGCATGAAGAGCAGAAATTGATCTGAGGGTTGGACAGTCTCAGCGAGTTCAGCGAATGCTGCTAAAACCTGCTCGCGCTTTGATTCAGTATCAACGATTCCTGATCCTTCAGACGCGCCCATATCTTCAAATAGAAAGGTGATCTGCTCCGGTGTGTAACCGTATTCGTCGGTGAGCAGTTGGTGGAATCCGGAGGTTGCACTCCAGAACGCGTCGTAAAAGGATTTCTCACCGGCAGCACCGCCGATGATCAGTACATGATCTGCTGCAAACGCTGTTGTGGAAATCAGAATAGCCGTGAGAATTACAATTAGTGTTTGGCGCATTTTCTTCTTCTCCATTGATGTGTCCTCTCTAAGGTAGCTGCGTATCGGAAGCGGTTATGAAATCACCACTTTTCCCACCCGTCTTTTTGACGAGTCTGACATCGGCGATGATCATTTCCCTATCTACCGCTTTACACATATCGTAGACGGTCAACGCTGCGACTGAGACGGCGGTAAGTGCTTCCATCTCCACACCCGTGCGACCGATCGTTTGAATTTCTGCTTCAATCTCAATTCGTGGTCTATCATCATCTGCAATTGCGAGTTCAACGCGAATCGAAGTCAATGCAAGCGGATGGCATAGCGGGATTAACTCGCCAGTGCGTTTCGCCGCCATGATACCAGCAAGGCGTGCGACCTCTAAAACATCACCCTTCTTCATCTTTTGCTCAGCAATTAATCGGAGCGTTTCAGGACGGGCAGTAATATGCCCGCAGGCGACGGCGATGCGCAATGTTTCTTCCTTGCCACCGACATCCACCATCCGTGTATTGCCTTTTTCGTCGAAGTGCGTTAATTGTTTTTTCATTTCAGTGAACGGCAGAGCGGAGTCTGCCTGCTACTCTGTGAACGGCAGAACGGAGTCTGCCTACTACTATTAAACCGGATGTTCTGTCATAATCTGCTCGTATTTTTCACGAAACCGTTGGAGATATTTCCCCTCACCGTGATAGGCAGCGACATCTTCAGGATGCGGGCTGAATCGGTTCGCCGCGTTTCAAGACAGAAGCACTGAACGCTTCAATGTCAAAAGGTTCGTTTTCTGTATCGGGATCTGCATCGTAGAGTGCTTTGACCCCGGCAACAGCAGCACCCAATGCTGCACCACCCTTTTCTACTGGGAGTGTCGGTCTGTTCCAAATTCCTGCGACACGCCGCATGATCTCAGGACTATCGGTTGCGCCACCCGTTACAAACAGCGGTGTTTGCGTCTGCTTCGTGAAGACAGCGGAGTAGACGTAAACGGCAGCGAGGCTCGTCTCAATAATGCCGGTATAATCTTCTGCTAATGTCGGTTGCGCAGCGGCACGGATCAACTCAAATGCCCCGGAGACAGGGAAGGACTCAGTCTTGGGTTGCCAAAACGTCATAAACTGCCCAGGCGCGACCTCCTGCAATGCTGCCTCTGCCGGTGCGTATTCCTCTTTTGCTAAACCGTAATTGCTTCTCACCGCATCCCAGACCATAGCACCGTTTGTACGGCACCCGAACATGAACGGACGATTGATGCCGTCATACATCGCATTGGCGAATCCCTCTGGGTCGAGTGTATCTCCATCAGTTGAGACCATGTTAACGAAACTGGTGCCGAGGCTCAGCAGATCTCCACCAACAGGTACTTTCGCCTGCGGATTGTCACCGGAACCCGCGATGACTGCACAGCGACCCTCAAAGCCGTATTTCTCTATGTAATACGCGGCGAGACTACCGACAATGGAATCTGGACGTACGAGCGTCGGCAATTTCGATTGGAATTCTTCCACATCGCCTGATAATCCGTGTGCGGTTGCTGCCAGCAGCGCGGGATCCCATGTCTTCGAGCGATAGTTCATGAGCGACATCCCGCAGGCGTTACCGTGGTCGATAGGGACGTTTGCATTCCCGGTTAGCACTGCTGGGATAAAACTGCTAATCAACTGGATTTTTGCTGTCGCCGCGAAATGTTCTGGGAACTGTTCTCCGATACGCCGCATGACAGTACCCGTGAACCGAAGCGGCGCATCCGAACCTGAAAGGTCAATCATCTCCGCTTTCCCGCCGACTCCGTTTCGGACGGCATCGGTTTGTGCGACGGTATTCGCGGTCATCCAGATTGGAGCGTTCGGATATGCGAACGCGTCCTTGAGTAGGGTTTGCAAGTCGCGTTCATCTTCTTTAAAGTTTTGGAAACTCGCCAGCTGCGCCAAAAGCGCATCAGCATCGCCGTTCAGATAGACGTGTCCGTGTTGTTGCCCGGACGTGTTGATGAGGAGAATAGACGCAAGTGGCACGCCTGCCTCGCGCATATCAGCGAACATGGCATCGAGCGAGGCGAGGTACATCAGCGGTGGTTGTTCGGCTTCACCTGCTTCTCTCGGCGGTAAGATATAGTCCTCTCCGATACCGAATCGGTTGAGTCGTGCGTCGGCGCGGTAATCGAGCGAGTGCTCAAAGTATTTTTCCGCTGTGTCTATATCAATAACGACAGCAGATAGACTTTGTGTGCTTGAATCTAAACCGAGGGCGAGGCGTTGATTTTTGTGTTTAGTCACTGAAGCATTTCCCTTTCACTCTAAACCGGTTAGCGTTAGTTCCCGCTTGCTTCTAAATTTTGGACGAAAGCCTCGAAGGTTTCTGCGCGCAAAGCTTCGCGGTGTAACTCTTGAAGGCGTTGGAGATTCTGGATGCTTTCTATCGCGGGTCTAAGTGCCTGAACTGCATGTCCATCAAACCGAAACTCAAGAACAACAAAAAGAAATTCAAGGACAGTTTGGCGCGACCCCAATTCAATTCCCTGTTGGAATCCCCGATGGTAATTTGCTTCCGCTTTTTGTAGAAAGTGTTCATAAACCGAAGATTCTTGCATAACTGCCTCCGATAAAAAGTCACCACCTGCAGAGAATAAATTCAACTACTGCTTCAACAGCCCAGGTCTCCTGAACCTATTGCTCGTTGCCGTTCATGTCCAAAGTGTGGGCGAACGCTTCAAAGGTTTCTGCACGTAAAGCTTCGTTATGCAGCGCCTGAAGACGTTGAAGATTCTGGATGTTTTCTAATGCGGGTCTAAGTGTTTGAACGGCGCGTCGATCAAACCGAAACTCAAGCACTGCAAAGAGATCTCTAATAGTGCTTTGTCGTGCACCTTGTTCAGTTCCCTGTTGAATTCCTTGTTGGATTCCCTGTTGAATTCCTTGTTGGTAACGCTCTTCGTCTGCTGTCTCTACGAGATGTTTGTATACTGAAGATTCTTGCATGACTGCCTCCGATAAAAAGCCACCAATTGCTTGATGCGGATGAATTAACCCACTCATAACCCACTGTGAGACGAGCAAATTACTCCGAATATCTGTGGGCAGCGAGAGTGTCTTTGTTTTTTCGTTACATTGGATTGCCCATTGGAGCTGTTCCATGCCAGCCGGTGGCTGCATCAACGGCGCGAATGGCATGAGCCCCGCGTTTTGTGTATCAAAAACAGATTGCCCCTCAAGTTCAATAAGACGAATCACTTTGTACTCAACGATGAACCGGTGGTTCGGCACGTCTTGTCTGTAACCACCTGGATCATTCCGCCCGGCATTCGGACGGAGATAGATAACGTGAGAAAGGATTGGCAAGCCGTATTTTTCATAGCATCTGCCGAGGTAGCCTACGTTGCGGCGCACCATTTCAAGAGCAGTACTATCGCCTACCTGAAACTCAATGTGGACCAAAACGAGTTCATCACCGAGTCGCACCTTTATGAGACTATCTGTCCGGCGGATTTCAACGGTCGTGAATTCGCCTTCCACAAATTCTATAAACTTGAAATCAGCGCGTTCCAGGACTGCTCGCAAGATGTCTTCAGGGAATTTCTGCAAGGCATCTTTGGTCACAATATCGTATCTACCGTGCGGCAGTGACTCAAAGTCTGGATCCGGCTGCTTCCTTACGTAGACCATATTAATATTTTACGCGAATCTGCCGATGAATATCAACCTTCTTTACAGTTCACCTATTCAGCGGATCAATTCCCCGGGATAGGCGCGGTTCTCCAATTCAGCGATGAATTTTTCGGAAGCGATAGCCGCCGCTGCGCCTGTCCCTGCAGCGGTAATCGCTTGACGGAATACATGATCGTGAACATCACCAGCGGCATAAACACCGTTTATGTTTGTGCGCTGCATCTCGTCTACGATGATATATCCCTGTTCGTCCATATTTATGACATCTGTGAAGAGTTCTGTGTTCGGAATATGTCCAATAAAGATAAATACACCGTCAATCGGGAAAAGTTGCGTCTCACCGGTCTTGACGTTTTTGAGGGTCGCACCGGTCACTTTTTCTGTGTCGCCATTAATTTCCTCAACAACTGTGTCCCAGATAAACTTGATTTTGTCGTTTTTGAAGGCGCGTTCCTGCATAATTTGGCTTGCCCGAAGTTGATCGCGTCGATGGACGATGTATACCTCGGAGGCGTATTTGGTTAAGAAAATGCCTTCCTCCAGTGCAGCATCACCGCCACCAACGACAACGAGCCGCTGATCTTGGAAGAAAAACCCATCACAAGTGGCACAGTAAGAGACACCGCGTCCGCCGTATTCTTCCTCGCCAGGGATGTCCAGCATACGCGGTGAGGCACCCGTGGCTATGATTACAGACTTCGCACGGTATTCTTTCTCATAAGTCGTGACAGCAAACGGATGTTGCGAAAAAATCAACGGCGGTTACGGTATCAAATTTGACTTCGGTGCCGAACCGCTCTGCCTGCTCCTGCATACCCTGTATAAAAACACCCGCTTCGTTACCGAAGAAACCGGGATAGTTTTCAAGGTCGAGCGTCAAAGAGAGTTGTCCGCCGAGTGCATCACCTGTAATCAGGATAGGCTCAAGCATCGCACGAGACGTATAGACACCTGCGGCGAATCCGGCGGTGCCACCACCAATAATCACGATATTTCGATCTTCTATATTGTTTGTATTAGTTTTCATTGTATTTTTTATTCCTTATCTGCTTTGGTATTAATAATTGCTTTAACATCTTCCCTAAAAGCATTGACATTCTTGGCATCAATTTTTGCATCTAAGTGCTCTAACCTTGATGTCATCAAAACTTAAAGTGCTCATTGTGGTCTTCCTCTGTGCACATTCAAAAAGAGGTTCTACATCTTGAATTTCGTAGACTACTTGGATAGAATCTTGATAGCATCTTCAATCTTGTTAAGGACTGTAAGAGGTGTACCAGATGCGCCAATGGCAGTTTGTAGAGCTTGCAATGCTACTATGAGAGCGTTTTGGACAGCCTCTTTGTCAACTTTGTTTGAGGAATACACTATTTTTTCTGTTGGTTCACCAATCGGAAGTCCATCATAGAAAAACTGCACTCGAGAACTTGCTACCACCACATTCTTGAAGAGACCATCTTTGTAATATATTACATGTTCATATGAAACCGAGACCTTTTTTTCGACTAACTTTTCGGTTTTTTCGACTAACTTTTCGGTTAACTTTCGCCAACCTACTAACTTTCGCCAACCTACAATTGCCAACACTAGGAAACAGACAATCAGTCCCACTTGTAAAACCAAAACAGTTGTTAACACTATTAAACTCCTCAGACTGTTGAAAGAGGGCGAGCCTCATTTTAAATGAAATCAAAACGCAGTTCCGTCAGAAATTTCACACCAGTGAGATTATAAAGACGTTTTGTAGCGATTCTACCGGTGGAAGTTATACGCTCAACTGGTGGATCCTGTCGGTAATTGGTATTCATATCTTTTTAATTATTCGCCAAGCGTTAACTGAAAGTTTTTGAGAGTGTTTATGTAAAGATAAAGAACTAATAAAATTGAAGTTAGCATTTAGAATGGAAGCGGAATGCCAACGCGTTCAGCAACTGTTTTCAACTGTGCCTGATGTCCTTCGCCAACCGGGATGCCGATTTCAGCCCATTCCTGTTCGCGCTCCCATTCTAAACCGCCGGGTAGATCTGATCGGTCATAACCCGGTGCCGGTTGCATCTGTCGTGCATCGTGGATATGTTGGTCGATCTCCGCTTTATACTCGTCAATCGGTCGGAATCGGGAAATGTCAATCGCTGCAATGAAAGCACCTTGATTGGCACCTTCCCAGATTGTTGGGGGATCCGGCGGTTTATCGAACAGCCAGATGCCTGCCATAAACCCACCGAGTGCATGACTCACATGACTCAAACCCAACATCTTGAAGAACGCAGCGGGACTCTGTTCAAACGCCTGTTCCAACGGCAGCTTGGCATCAATACCGGTTGCCATATCAACGATTATGGGCGGCTGGTTGCCTGCCGGAATCGCAAAACTCATCGGCGAAGCACCAGTTGCGGTGACAATCGCACCGCCGGGGCTGTGTCGAAAACGGTGGCAAGAGACCGCAAACCCGGCGCAATCCGCTTCAAGCGCGAGTCGTGAATACTTGCCAGCACTCCCAAAGTGGAAGTGATTCCGACTCGTTGCAGCACCGAGTCCCATCTCTTTGGCTTTTTCGACCGCTGCCTCTGCAGCATGATACGCGGCAAAATGTCCCATACCGCCATCGCCGTCGTAGACCGCCGTCGTCGGGGATTCATCGATGCAGCGGACGTTTGGACGTGGATTTACTTTGCCGTCAAGCATCATTCCCACATATCCCGGTGTTTGCTGTGTGCCATGACTGAACACACCGCGCAGATCCGTGAGAACGAGCAGATGAGCTATATGCGCAGCGTCCTCCGCCGAGGTCCCTGCCTTCTGGAAAGCTTCACTGACGAAGCCTCGCATTACATCTGGCATAACGCGGATAAATTCTTTTGGAACTACATTCATATTTTCTTCCACCAAGTATTTTTAATTTTGCGCTAAGCGTTAAATTACGGTGTTGATCTCACAAGGGTTTTCGGTTAAGTTCCGCTCAAGTGCCGGACATTATTTATAGCAGATTTTGGCTTCGCGCTTTGCCGAAACGCGGAATTCCATCAACAATCCGATAGGACTGTTCGCACATTTTGCAGTGGAGACTGTGTTCTTCCCACGTAATCTCACCTTTACACTGCGGACAGACGAGAATTTCTTGCAATGTTTTCGTCTGGCGACTTTTACCTTTTGTCACTTTTGACAGCAAGTTTTGGCTTGCAAGCCGCGCCAAAAGCGATTTAGCACGGGAAACGATGCCTCGCGGCACTGCGCTTTTAAGAAGCAGGAACCACTCATTATGTCTCGGACCATTACCATCTGATGCGACAAGCCTATCAAGCGTATCGTGGCATTCCAAATCCAGTGCTGACTCATGTTCGAGAAGTATTTTATACTCTATTTCATCTTCCCATTCGTATTGAACCAAGAAGAGATGATGATGCGTAATATGAAACCGCTTCCAATGCTTATCTGTTACCGCCAATCTGTGGAAAAGTTGCCCAAATTGGGAATTTTTTTTATTCTTCCGTAGCATCAAACAGCCATCGACCAAGTTGACGACCCAGTTGTGATAGTGCCACCCGTAAATTCGCTCACCTATTTCAGACGGCGTTTCAATGTAGCCTCGGCATGCAACACGCATTAATTCGGAGATAAATCGCCTCGGATCTTCGACGTGTTCCAACACATGTGAGCAGATGACATAGTCGAACGCCCGATCTGCGAACGGTAGGAACTGTCCATCCGCTTCCACCATCGGACGGTCGGTAACGATTGCGCCGCCGCGCTGTTCGTCATCGCCTATGAATTTATCGCACAAGACATCCGAACGTGCCTTCGGGTTGTGACCGCTCCCTATCTCTAAGACAAAATCGTTCGGACGGATGTTCATTTCTCTACAACCATCGTAATATAAGGACTCAGGTACGGAAACGTGCCAGCGATGATTCTACCTTTTATGCCAAATCCGACAGCCTTTTTTATGATTGTGAATCCGTTGAGTCGGAAAAATTGGGCGAGATCAATCGGGCTGGCGTAATACGCGCTGTCTGAATCGCCACCGATTGCATCTGCTTGTAAATCGGGTTCGCGGTAAATGAAATTTGGCGATTTGGTGGAGAACCGTTTCGTTAGATAGAGCCGACAGTTTCGCGTGAATTGCTGCAACGCTTGCCGCTTCGTCTCACCCCAAACAGGTCTGCCGGGTTTGCCGGACATCAGGCTGAACCAATCCAGCAGCGGGATTAGCGGTGAACAGAGATTCGGTCCAGAGATCACAATGCGTCCGCCTTTGGACACCACGCGTATCATCTCGTTTAAAGCTGTTTCGACATCGGGCAGGTGTTCAACTAATTCGTTTGAACAGATAACATTGAAGGACTCACTTTCAAACGGGAGTTCCATCACATCACAGACTTGGTATCGGAGACTTGGATTTTCCCAGTTTTGTGCTTCTTCAAGAAAGAGCGAGGAAATATCGGTGCCGACGACATCGAAATCTGCCTGATTCAGCAGCCGCGCGGAGATACCGTTTCCACACCCGAGGTCAAGTATCTTGGAACGAGGGGGCGCGTAACGGATTACCAATTCTACGTAGTGCCGGAGATAGACTTCGTCGTGTGCAGCTAAGAGACCTTTATAAGTCTCCGATGTTTCGTAGAATTCGCGCATCCGCTGGCGGATTGGCGATGATGTTTCAGGCATCGGCGTTTCTATCATATCGTCCGGTTCCCAAGGATATTATACACGTTTGTCGGCACGGTAACACGGATATCCGTTACGAGCGGAGTTTATTCCACGGTGCCTCGTCATAAACATCAATGAGTTGGTATCCCTCTGCTCCTTTGGAAGGACTCAAGGTTACAAACAACTTCGCGGATTCAGAAGAAACGTTAAAGGAAGCGTGAACCATATCCGCGGGGATGAAAACGGAGTCACCTGTATTTAGTGTCTGTTTCTTATCTTCGAGCCACTGTTCCACGCTGCCCTCAATAACGTAGATAACCTCTTCTTGATCAGGATGTTTGTGGAAATCATGTCCATAACCCGGGGAGAGGCTAACTTCCATTGCGACGATGTCTTTCGCACCTGTGCTCTCTGGACGGCTGAGCCAGCCGATGGTTCCCCAGTCAAGTTCGTCTCGTTCTACGTCCGCGGACGCAATAAATTTTCCGTTCACGATGTTATGAATCCTCCTTTTCATTCGCGGTATAGGCGCGCTGTGAAGCGCGCCTACAAAAATTGTTTGATGCTGCTACCTTTGGGATTTCAGGTCGCCCAAGTTGTGGACAGTTTCCCCATCGGCTCAACAGGTGTTGATGCTGAATTCATTTCTGCTTGGATTTCTTCCTCATTGAGGGCACGATTCCAGATGCGGACCTCGTCAATGAGTCCAAGAAATTCACGATTGCCTTCAGGCGTTTTACCGATAAAGACAGAAGACGTGTCGGCAGCACCCGGCAAAGCATTTTTATCACCGAATTCGCCAACATTTTCACCGTTCAACCAATACCGATGGATACCGTCCTCAACGTGCGCAGCGACGTGCTGCCACTCATTGAGCGCAATTTTCCGGTGCAAACGCTACCGCTGCCACCAGCACTGAGATGTAGACACTCACTCGGGAATTCGGTGTAGAAACTGTAAGAGCGTGGACCGTTGCCTTTTGCCCTTTGAGACAATACCTTGCCACCGTTGGTCGTTGGGACCTTTGTGTCTTTCAGCATTAATCCATGCCATGACTGTGACATTCCGGTATCAACGGTGAGAATATCGGCGTGCGGCACTTCAACCCAATCGACCTCTCACGTTCAGTTGAGTGCATCCCCGAATTTTCCTGATACCAACTCTGGTGCGCCAGCAAGGTGTGCATCGTTCCATACTTGCGAATGATCGATAACCGTATCACCATCGAGTTTCATCAAAAGAGAAGTAGAGGATGAGGGATTCATCAGACAGATCTGTCGCGTAGGCAAAAGGTGCCGCAAAGGCAACAATCATAAGGATAAAAAAGAGCGTTCTCATATATGCTCCTATTATTTGTCTATAGGTAGAGAGTGCGCGCTGAGAACCGGATTTAGTCTGGGAAATAGACTCAATCCATTCCTTGTATTACATTGTTGCGATTCAAAAGCGCGCACGTAGATGACTTTTATCGTTGTGAGGTTTTCAGATGTCCCCAAGTCGTGGTGAGTTTCTGGCGCGGATCAACAGCGAAGATATCGAAATAGCCGCTCTCCATCTGTTCAATAACCTCGTCCTCATCGAGGGCACGGTTCCAAATGCGGACTTCGTCAATGAGTCCGAGAAATTCACGGTTGCCTTCGTGAGTTTTTCCGACGAGGACATCCGCTTGATCGGCTTTACCGGGTGGAGCGTTTTTGCCACCAAATTCGCCAGCCATTTCGCCGTTTACCCAATACCGGTGTGTTGTGCCATCATCTACCTGTGCGACAACATGCACCCATTCGTCTAACGGAACCTTTTTGTTACAAACACTTCCACCACCGACACTGAGGTGCAAACATTCACTCGGGAATTCGGTGTAGAAACTGTAGGAACGCGGATTGTTGCTTTTCGCAACGATACCCTGCCACCTTTGACCGTTGGGACCTTGATGGCGTTCAGTATTAATCCAAGCCATCACTGTTACACTATTGTCAACGGTGAGAATCTCGTGATGCGGCACGACAACCCAGTCGCTTTTACCGTTTAGTTCCAGTGCCTTACCGAATTTGCCTTCAGCAAGTTTCGGGGCACCAGCAATCTCGCCATGGTTCTCATATTTTGAATGGTCGATGGTGTTTTTACCGTCGAGCTCATCAAAAGAGAAGTAGAGGATGAGCGAATCCTCGGGTTCGTTCAACGCGTAGGCAAAAGATGCCGTAAACGCGATAAGTATTAGCATTATAAATAGGGTTTTCATTTTTCCTCCGTGAAAATCTGCCTAAGGCAGGTGTTTTAAAATTGACTAACGTATCGGAACAATGTTGTTCCCTTCAACCGCCAGAAACTTCCGGTTGACGGGGAGGTGTGTCCCTCGATCAATGTGTCCGTTGAGCCAGCGAATCTCAAGGAGATCAATCTGTTCCGCTTTACCAACGCCAAAATGGGCACGCAGGTCGTGGAAGGAGAGATAACTCCCACCACTCTGTACCTCCCAATATTGGACGTGTGTTCCGGTGACGACTTTAATCTTTGCCCCAATCCCAGAGCGGTTGCTTTTTTGTCCGACGACTTGGATCTGTATCCAATTGTTTCGATTCCCGATTGCGTTTTGGAGCAGATCTGGACGTTGGTTGCAATTGGTGACAAGAATATCAAGGTCCCCGTCGTTGTCGTAATCGCCGATAGCAGCACCGCGACTCACCTTTTCCAGTGTCAAGCCATCCGTCTCTGACATGACATTGGCGAACCTGCCATCGCCTAAATTCCTGAACAACAGGTTCCTTTGCGGATAGGTTACATGCGTCTCAAGCACAGCGATGTTATCCATCAAGTGTCCGTTTGCGACAAAGATGTCTTGGTATCCATCGTTGTCATAATCAAACAACTTAATACCCCATCCCAGATAGCCGTGTGTTACTTCTGCGATACCTGATGTAATCGTATTATCGGTAAAAAAGGTGCCATCGTGGTTGTGGTAAACGGTATTGGTTTCGGTCTGATAGTTACTGACAGTGAGATCGAGCCACCCATCGTTGTCATAGTCCCCGAAATCGGCACCCATCCCAGCTTCCTCTTTACCCATATCATTGTAGCATACGCCTGAAATTAATGCAACCTCCAAAAAATTGCCGCTTCCGCTGTTTTGAAACAGAAAGTTCGGATCCTGATCGTTGCGCGACGTAGAGGTCGGTATCTCCATCGGCATCGTAATCGCCGAACGTTACGCCTAACCCGTGCTGAGGCATCAGATCCGAGGGACGGTACAAAACCGACATATCGGTGAAGGTGCCATCTCCGTTGTTCTTGTAAAAAGTATCGTGAACCGCCGGATACGCATGCGGACCGCAATAGACGTGAACCCCACGTTCTTCGCACCGGATGTCGTTCTCAGGCGCATACGCGGCGTAGTTTGCCACATAGAGATCCAAGTGTCCATCGTTATCCACATCGGCAAACGCGCAACTGGTGCCCCAGTTCGGGTTGTTAACTTGGGCGTGTGTTGTCACGTCTGTGAAGGTGCTATCGCCATTATTCCGATAGAGCTGATCTTCACCGAAGTTGGTGACGTACAAATCTATATCGCCATCGTTATCGTAATCACCGACAGTGGCACCAGTGCCGTAGGCACGACTTCCTACACCTGCCTTGTCGGTGACATCAGTGAAGGTGTTATCGCCGTTGTTTCGGTAGAGGACGTTATGCGGGGTTTGGTCTTGTCCACCTCCTGTCTGAACCGCGCCATTGACGAGGTAGATGTCGAGATCGCCGTCGCCATCATAATCGAAAAATCCACCACCAGATCCGAGAAATTCGTTGAAGAGTCTCACACCGCTTCTGCCATCGGTATGCACAAATGTTATCCCTGCGGATTCCGTAACATCAATGAAAATTGGTTCTGTAGACGCGATTGTGCAATATTGGAAGCTTATAAGTGCGAATACGAAAAGGCGGTAGAGGGACGGGGTTCCATTAGGGTCAGTTTTTCGCATAAGGAGGAATTTATCGCGTCGTTTGTGAACTTTTCTTCAAACGCTCTAAGTTTTGTAATGCCTTCCAAGCATCGCTATCGTCAGGTGCGATTTCTGTGATATGTCGGTAGACATCTATCGCCTTCTGAAGATGCCCTTGTTTCGTGTAAATTTCGGCTAACCCGTGATATGCCAAGGGAAGTTCGGGCATTTTCTCTATAGCCGCTTGCAGATGCGATTCTGCCTTGTCAAACGTTGATTTGGTATAGAGCCACCCTAACCGAACATGCGCTTCCACAGCATCTGGATTTAGTTCAAGGACTTTCTGGAAGAACGGAATGGCGCGCTGTGGCATATTGAGATTCATGTAGAGTCGTCCCAATTTATCGTATCCAGTCACCAACTCTGGGATTCAACCGAATCAGGGCTTGGTAGGTCGTGACTGCTGCGGAGATATGCTTGTGCGCCAGATGAATTTCTGCTAATTCCGATCGGAGGGTCGTGTTCAATGGTTCTTCTGCCAAAGCACTTTCAATGGCGTAGGTTCGGTCATAGTAGGCTTTCATCTGGTGAATCAGTTAAGTTGTTACCGTTTGCTTGTGGCTATACTCGCCGAGGACAGTCGGTACGCCTTGGCAAATAATATAGTAGCACTTCTGGACGTAAGGTTTTTCTCGATTGCGGGTCTGAATAGGTGTCCATGCTTGCTGCGGTTCGTTCCGCATGAGGGCAATTAAGCCGAGCCATTCATAAACTTCTGGAAAATCGGGGTTACGCGCAAGGGTACGCTTAAATACGGCGAGTGCTTCGTCGAATTTTGCCTGATGTGTGTAGATATAACCGACCCGGTAGTGTGTATCCGCATCTGCCGGGGATATCTGAACGGCTTCTTTCGCGTGCTGTTCTGCGATGTCTAATTTGCTCTGTTTACAATAGATTTCCTGCCAGCGCGAGGTGTGTTAATCCGTAAATCCTCTCCTTTGTCGGGACATTTTTTAAGTCTGCAGCTGCCGTAAAAATCTGGTTAAACGTCTCAATCGCTAATTCTAATTCATCTTGCAATTTATAGACATTCGCGAGTTGGAAAAGCGCGTCTACATGTGTCGGTTGCTGTGATAAAATCGACTTAAAGGTATCTACTGCCTGTGGATAGAGTCGCAGTTTAACATATTCCACGCCTTCTTGGAATGCCGAAGTCGTTTCAGTTCTACTCACAGATGGGATAAGCGATAAGAGCGTCGTGAGAATTAAAACCCCACAGACGCGTTTTGCAAACATCTGATGGCGTTTACGACCTGCGTCCATGCTGATTTTCCTCAGTCAGACTGCGATTGTTTGTTCACCACATCCTGAATCCAAGACAACGCCGCCATACTCGATGACCAACCGATAGAGGTCACTGCAAGCAGTGCTACCTGTTGCAATTCTTCTGGTGTGATCCCTTCCCGGAGCGCGCGTCGCGTATGCGAATGCACCGCACCTTCAGACTTTGCACCGATAGCCAATGCAAGTTTGGCAAGCCTCACGGTTTTGGGTTCAAGGGGGCCGGCGGTACCGCACGCTTCACCCAATGCCTGATACGCTTGCCAGACTTCGGGGTATTCTTCAATGACATCTTGAAGAAAATCTGGTAATTTATCATTCATCAAAAATTCTCCATGTCAGCTTGTTAGCCAGTTTTCTCTTTTGGTGGTGACTCGGTTTCTTGTTGCGCTGTCTTTTCGGTTTCATCTGGCTGTTCTTCATTGAGTCCGGCTTTAAAGTTAGTAATACTTTTAGCCGAGCCCTTTCGCCAAGTCAGGGAGTCGCTTCGCACCAAACAGGAAGAAGACGATGACTAAGATTATAAGTAATTCTGGGAGTCCAGGCATACCCATTTTATGTGTACCTCCATTTGACATAATTCGCGCACTGAAGTGACGCACGATACATATTAGCGTATATACTATCACATAAAAAAAAATATGTCCAATAGTATTTAGTTGTCGGTTATCAGTTGTCAGAGGAACAGTTGTCAGTAGGACGGGTTCATGAGGATTAAGGATCTAATTGAGTCATGTGTAGCCTCCATTGTCTGAACCAGGATTTTCAGGATAATTGGGCACACATAAATCGGGTTTACAAGGTTTCCACTCACAAGAATGCCTCGCGAGGATTGAAGGGCAATGAAGGAAAACAAAATGTAATTGACAGGCGGCTTCAGACATGCTATAATTTAAAGGTGCCTTGCAGATGAAGCTAATAACGGATCGTTTTGACACGATAACTGCGAAGGAGTTGGATTATGAAGGGCATAGTCTAACAATCCCAATTCTTTAGGTTTGGGTCCAACCCCGTAACGCCCGTGCTAAAGTCAAAAAAAAGATTTGATATTGCCTTGATAATGTGATATAATTACAATATCTCGTAGGCAGACATGCTAAGCATTGTCGCAAGACAATGTGTCTGCCTCCTACTTAGCAAGGGATAAAATGCGGGATACGAGATATACCCAATGATTGTATCACATAAGATAGCGTTAGACGCTACAGACGACCAATGCACGTGGTTTTCACAACAATGCGGTTATGCTCGCTTTGCTTTCAACTACGCTTTATCCGACTACAATAACGAGCCCCGTCATTGGAAAGAACTCAATAAACGTTTCAATATAGCCAAGCGTGATATCGACTGGGCGAGTCGGATGGATCAGCGTGCAGCGTTGTTTGGCATAAAGCACCTTGGAGACGCTATCAGCCGTTGGAAAGGCGGACAAAATAGGAGACCGAAAAAAAAGAGACGTAGAAACCGTCAATCCTATAGCACCGACCCGAACACAGTAAAGATAGAAGGTAAGCGTATACGCCTCCCTAAAATCGGGTGGGTGCGTATGTATCAAAAGTTACGACATAAAGGTGAGATTACAAAAATAACTCTATCAAGGACAGCACACCGTTGGTTCGTATCTATAACCGTTGACACAGGAAAACCAAATGCTCCACGAGACACACGTGGACTCCCTATTATCGGAATAGACGTAGGTATCAACTCACTGGCAACCCTTGATACAGGTAAGCAGTATCCGAACCCAAGACCGCTTAAGAAGTATGAGCAGAAACTAAAACGTGAACAACGTAAGTTGAGTAAGAAAGAGTATCTATCAAATAACTGGTATAAGCAGAAACGAAAAGTGGAGCGTATCCACTATAAGATGGCTTGTATCCGAAATGACGCTCACCATAAAGCGACAACAGAGATCGTCAATATGGCAAGCGTGATTGGAATAGAAACGCTCAAGATTACAAACATGCTTAGGAACAAGAACCTTGCCAAAGCGTTATCAGATAGTGCGTTAGGTGGTTTTCTTGCTATGCTCAAATCCAAAGCAGAAGTATTCGGTATACCTGTTAAAGAAGCCCCAAATTCTATGCTTCAAGTAAAACTTGTAGTACTGTGGACATAAGAAAGAAACGCTTACACTTTCAGATAGACACTATCAATGTAGCGCATTTGTGGTATCTCTATAGACAGAGACCCAAAAAACGCTGCTATAAATCTAAAGCACCTCGCCGTAGGGCATACGGAGAGTTAAAACGCTTGTGGAATTCGAGTTGCCACTATTGGAGACGATTGAAAAGTACTGTCGCTACAGAGTGTACGCTTATTCAGTCCCGGCCACGGAGCGCCGCGCGCGTTTTTATTAGGACTGCCAATGCACAAGGAAGCTACCCATCCGTCCGGGGTACAGCAACATCGGAGACAGTTATAGAAGTCGGGAAAGACTGTCAGGAATTGGCAGGTAGGTGAGCGCGTCGCCTCAACCCAAGGACACACCAGCCACTTTGTAACATCGCCCGAATCGTTTGCTGTGAAGTGGCATCCACTGAGGTGCCAGCTGAAGAAGATGAGAGCAGTTTTCTTTAACTCGGTGCGATTGCAAGTACAAGGGGTCCGAAAGGCACGCATTGAATTGGGGGTAGGCGACACTGGTTTTGGGACAAGGGCTTATCGTTTGCTGTCGAGTGCAACTCGCGAAACTCAGTGGCTGCACTCCACTTATCGCTGGCAGACTCTCACCGATCGCCGTCTCGAAATCTCTAAAAGTATAGACGCGAGTGATTGATGGAGAGACGGTCTGGGGAGCCCAGACTGCGCACTCAACCCTAGAAGCACCTGCTCACCCCTCTTTTACTTTCTCCGAGCAGTTAGGCGATGTTACGGCAAAGGCGATGGACCATCTGTTCGTATTGAAGCTACTGGACATCCAGATCGCAATCAGAACCGCCTTAGATGTAGCGGGATGGGGTGCGCGAGTGGTGCTGTGGCGAGCACACGCGGGGAAACACCAAAAGTGAATTCTATCGGGATGTGCATAAAAAAGGTCTTATCCTTTAGGGCGCACCAATTCTATCCGCCCGCGCCAAGAATCCTCACCGAACTTCTGGACGCTTGAAGATGACAGCCTTTTGCTGTTGATCTCATCGCACAAAACGGTCAATGTACCCGTTGATACCATCGTGTTCCTGGGAGAAGAGGCTCCGAGCATATCAACTCCTCATGGAATGGAATCCTGGCTTACTCGGTGTTGTTCTTCAGTGGAACAACGATATGTAGACGCTAATCTGAAGGGAAAAATGGCACGCGAATATCTATTGAAAATGTGCGCAACATCGGCATTGCAGCGCACATTGATGCTGGCAAAACAACTACAACTGAACGGGTTCTCTTCTACACCGGCAAAAAACATAAGATCGGTGCGGTAGATGATGGCACCGCTGAGATGGATTGGATGGTGCAGGAACGAGAACGCGGTGTGACAATCACCGCGCCGCAACAACCTGTTTCTGGCGTGGAACACGCAATTCACTCATTGATACACCGGACATGTCGATTTCACGGTGAAGTAGAGCGTTCTTTGCGGTCTTGGATGGTGCTATAGCACTTTTCTGTGCTGTCGGTGGGGTGGAACCTCAGTCAGAAACCGTCTGGCATCAGGCAGAACGTTATGGTGTACCGCGTATTGTTTTTGTCAATAAGATGGACAGGGTTGGCGCGAATTATGCTCGCGTTCTGGAGATGATGAAAGCGCAATTGGGTGCGAATCCACTTCCGCTCCAATTACCGATCGGTGAAGGCACAGACTTTGCGGGTGTTATTGATCTGGTGACACAAAAGGCGATGCGTTGGGACGCAGCAGACCAAGGGCAAACCTATTCAGAGATGGAGATTCCATCTGAATTTCAGGATGAAGTCGATCAGGCACGGGAGAATCTTTTTGAGAGTGTTGCTGTTGAGGATGAGATGTTGCTTGAGAAATACTTGAACGGCGAAGAAATTACGCACGACGAATTATTGGCGACTGTTCGGGCAGCGACTTTAAATGGGGCATTAGTGCCGGTGCTGTGTGGGAAGTTCTTTGAAGAATCAAGGTGTTCAACCGCTGCTTGATGCAGTCATCAATTTTTTACCATCTCCTGTTGATGTGCCACCGATTGAAGGGACTGTACCACATCTACCTCTGGCGGCGCGCGTTCCAAACGCAAAGGAGACACAACCTCCGAGGAAGGTAAAATAACGCGTCCCGCAGACGATACTGCCCGTTTTCAGCCTTAGCATTTAAGTGGCAAGTCATCCGACGGTTGACAAACTCGTTTACTGTCGAGTCTATTCTGGCACGCTTCGGCGCGGGGAGGCAGTCTATAACGTCCGTTCCGAGAAACGAGAGCGAGTTAATCGCATTTTACAGATGCACGCCAATAAAGAGGCGTGTCTGATGCGGCTTACGCCGGTGATATTGTGGCACTCGTCGGACTTAAGGATACCAAGACCGGGGATACCGTGACCGATGCAAAAGAGCCAATTCTCTTAGAATCCATCACCTTCCCGGATCCTGTTATCTCTATTGCGATAGAGCCTGAGCGTGCAGTGATGCAGATGCATTAGAGGAGACACTCGAAAAACTCATGGACGAAGACCCTACATTCACCGTCGGATTGACAAGGAAACCGGGCAACGAATTATCTCAGGGATGGCGAGCTGCATTGGAGATTTTGACTGATAGGATGTCCGTGAATTTGGGGTTAACGCTCGGGTGAGCAAACTCCAAGTGGCATATCGCGAAACTATAAGTACGTTGCGGAGGCGCGCGGAACACACATTCATAAAACGGACGAGGAAGGCATCTACGGTGATGTGCTACTCACGGTTGAACCGTTAGAACGCGACGAAGGATTTCAGTTTGAGGATAATACCGACGAGACGCAGATTCCGCGGCAATATATCGCGTTCATTGAGAAGGCATTAGAAGGTGCGATGGGAACAGGTCCCCGCATTGGATATCCGATGCAAGACGTGAAGGTAACACTCACGGGGGGTTCCTATCATCCAACGGATTCCTCGGAGGTGGCATTTGAGGCGGCGGCAGCCCTCGCTTTTGAAAACGCTATCAAAAAGGCGAACCCGTTGCTCTTAGAGCCAATTATGCGGATACATATCACTGTTTCCGATGAACATGTCGGCAAGGTGATCGGCGACCTGAATTCACGTCGCGCCCAAATAACGAGAGCACAACGCAAGATGCATCCGATACAGGCCGCGTATCACAATCAACGCAGAACGTCGTCAACGCCTTTATCCCGTTGTCAGAGACATTTCAATACACGACACGTCTCCGTTCGATGACACAAGGACGTGGCGCGTTTACATTGGAATTTTCACATTACGAAGTGGTGCCTGAATCTCTTGCGCCGGGCGCGAATTCTGTTGTCTCGGCTTAGACACAGCTTAACGTCCGTAGGCTTTCATTACCTTTTGTAGTTCTGCCAAGGGAATCGCGTGCATCGTTCTGCCGTTGCGTCCAGTGGTTGTCGTCGCCATTGTCATTGAGTTGACAATAGCCTCCTCTGTTGCTTCAATCACTGCTTGGAAGAGTGAACTTAAACGTCCATTGACGAGCATCTCGATTTGAAAGGTGCCAGTTTCGGTCCTACGTTGAAAGATATTCGCAGTGGAAAACGCGATGACGAATTCGCCACTACCATCCGTACTCGGTGTCCCTGTGCGAGCGAGTCCGTGTGTTGCGCGGATCGCTAACTGCTTCAATTGGCGGTGCGTTAGTGGTGCATCTGTCGCAATAACAATAATAAATGATCCGTCTCTACCCAGTTTCGGTGGGGATCCAGTAATTTCCGTGCCAACTGGGACACCATCAATTCGTAATTGATGCCGCCGACCTCCATTGGAGTTAACGAGTACACCTACTGTCCATCCACCCTGTTCTTCAGGCAGAACACGGGAAGCAGTACCAATACCAGCTTTGAACTGGTAGCATCGCATGCCGGTGCCACCACCAACGCAGCCTTCGACCACGGGACCACTCGTGGCATTTTCAATGGCTTCAATCGCGTGTTGCGCTGTAACATGGAGTCCACTGATGTCATTCAAACCGCCATCGTAACACTCTGCTACAATCGGCAGCACAATATTGTTGTCAGGATACCTTTTCACAATGTACCGAACAACACCATCGTGAACTGCTCCGACACTAAGCGTATTTGTGAGTAAAATGGGGGATTCAATCCATCCAGCTTGGTTAATACGGGCGATACCAGTTGCTTCACCGTTGCCGTGGATAGTATATGCTGCGCCGAACAGCCGCGCTGTCCAAATATCATCACTCGGAATGACAGCGGTGACACCGGTGCGAATCGAATCGCCTTCGTTCAGAGTTACATGCCCTACCTTCACACCAGCGACATCGGTGATGGCATTGTGAATGCCAGTTGGAAGGCTCCCGATTTGGATACCGATGTCGCGTGCCCGTGCGCGGATATCCACTTCTTCAGGTTCAGCACCTATCCTGTATATAGAATAGGTCCAAAGAACACCGATAATAATAACATAGTACAATATGTTCGTATGATACGAGGATTCAGTAACTCGCATCCGTTTAAGAAATTTCTGCATTTTCCAATTGATCCTATAAATTTCGCGAATTTTGTTAAAGATAGTGATATATGTTGGTAACCGGTAGTCGGGTAACTCCACTCCCACGGTTGGAACGTCTTACGATAAAAGCGGAGTGTAATTTCGGCATAAATGCCATCACAGAGATAGATACGGTGGGCGTGATCCTTCGTTGATGCAAGCACTAACTTTGCTAAACAGAGGTAACCTGCGTCTAAATTGACACGCCGTGCATCACCTTCAGGCTTCTTTATTGTGAAATTTTGCTCCACCGTATTTGTAAACAGTTTCATCTCTGTCAATGTACCTGCGTCAACGAGCCTTTCAAAACTGATAAATTGCCTGTGAATGTCCGGTCCCATCTCAGTTTCATAATAGTTTGTGCCTGTAAAAGGCAGCAGTTCGCTTGTGAAGTCAATGGGCCCGAGATGTTGTGTAAGTTCCGCGTAAACGGTTGACAGAAGACACGGTTCAGTTGTCAGCACACCGGTAACGGCTTTAACAGGTTGTGGTGTTGTAACGATTCCCATGTTGTTCTCCAGAGTCTAACCGTAAAACGAGGTTCTTGTGTCTCGCCAACGTAAATTTTATGCATTGAGTATAGCAGACAACATTTCAAGTGTCAATGTTCATTTATCACGTCAAAAATTGAGGCTTAAAATGACAATATTAGACTTCAAAATTTCATTAAAATGTGAAAAAAACGCATTTTTTTGATTTTTTCTTGACATCTTTTAAATTATAATGTATAATATTCTGTTATGCTATGCTACGTCACCATATTAAGACGGAAAAAGCAGCTGCGGAAGCAGGCTTTTTCAAGAATCTACTCGTAAGCTGCGCAACCACCGCCAAATAGGGGGACTCCATTCAGTGAACAAAACGCCCAGAAAATCTTTTGCCAAAACACAGATTCGGGCAGATCTCCCGAATCTTATAGAAACCCAAAAGGTTTCATATGCTGCCTTTTTACAGCGAGATGTCGCACCCAATGAACGTATAGATACAGGCCTCCAATCAGTATTCAAAGAAGTGTTTCCGATCCGAGATTTTTCGGAGGTCAATAGCCTTGAATTTGTCAGTTACACCCTCGGTACACCCAAATATACATTACAAGAGTGCGTTGCGCGCGGTGTGACGTATCAGGTATCCCTCACAGCGCGTATCATGCTCGTCCTACGTGAAGCGGATCCGGATGCGGATGAACCACACGTCGTAGATATCCGAGAATCCGATGTTTATCTCGGCGAAGTTCCATTAATGACTGAAAATGGCAGCTTCATTGTCAATGGCAGTGAACGTGTGATAGTGAGTCAGCTGCACCGTTCGCCGGGTGTCATTTTTCTTGAGAAATCATTGCCAACCGGAAGACGGACACCGACTGCCCAAATTATTCCGTATCGAGGGGCGTGGGTTGAATTTGAAATAGACACGAAGGATCAGATTTATGTCCGCATCGACAAACGGAGAAAGCTACCTGCTACAGTGCTACTTCGTGCCCTCGGTTGGGAGTCAGACGCGGATATCCTGAAACTCTACGCCAAGACGGAACGACTTGTGCTTGATGGGTGGAAGGTTACGCATGTAGAGGGACCCGCAATACAGGTTAAAACGGGTGACTTATTAGACGCTGCAGAATTTCGGCAGGCGAGCAAGGACTATCCGGATCTTGAGACTGAGAAGTACTATCGCGTTACTCTGGTACCAGATGAGGGCTGCCCATTAGAGATAGGACAACAGATTTCGGAGAGAGAGCGTACAAGCTTCCGCAGAAAATGGAAGGGCTTTGAAACCGAACTGCTCCGCCGCGTTGTTGATACCCACGACAGTGGGTGTGAGTTGACACTTGGCCAGGTGCTAACGAATTCGGAATATGAAAAGGCGCGCGACCGCTACGGGAAAAAGGCTTTCACGGCTGAACAGATTCTGCCCGAAGATGGTCAAGATAGAGTCTGTGCTGAAGACGTTATTCATCAAGAGACCGGCGAAGTGCTCCTCACGGCGAATACACTCCTCACCGAAACTGAGTTGGAGCGTCTCAAAGAATCTGGTGTTGAAGCACTCATTGTCCTGGATACGGAAGATTGCCAACACATCCGGTTTTTACGTAATACACTGGAACGCGACCGACAGGCAGACTATGACAATCAGTATACTTTAAAGGACGCATCACTACTTACGATTTTCCGCACGTTGAGGCCCGGGGATACTACCAATATAGAGAATGCGCGTAAACACCTCTCATGGCTGCTTTTTGATTCACACCGGTACGATTTGGGCGTAGTTGGGAGATACAAGCTTAATCGAAAATTTCATCAGACGACCTGTTTATGGAGCACCTCCTGAAGAGACATTACGTACGCTCCGCCCGGAAGATATTGCTGCTACGGTAGATTACCTTCTTAAAGTACATAACGGGGTAGCACCGAAAGACGATCTCGACCATCTCGGCAACCGACGCGTACGCGTTATCGGTGAACTCCTTGAAAACCAGTTTCGGATGGGATTATTCCAAATTCGTAGGACGACGCGCGAACGGCTAAGTACCAATAACGATATTGCGAAAGTGGTGCGTCATCACTTGTAAACCCGAAACCGCTCATGATGGCACTCCGTGAATTCTTTGGCTCAAACCAGTTGTCGCAATTTATGCAACAGATTAATCCGCTGGATGAATTGACGCACAAACGCCGTATTTCAGCCATCGGTCCGGGTGGGCTTCATCGAGACAGGGCAACAGCCGCCGTTCGGGATGTACACTGGACGCACTACGGACGGGTCTGTCCCTTGGAAACGCCTGAAGGTCCCTCAATCGGACTCATCGTGTCTCTCGCTTGCTATGGGCGGATAAACCCGTACGGTTTCATAGAGACACCCTATCGTAAAATAGAGAATGGATCCGTTTTAGGACCGGTCGAATATCTCACGGCAGATAGCGAAGATACCGCCTACATCGCTGCGAAGATAGCACCGAGCAATGCCGCACAAACTATAAATGGTGGCACGGGTGCTGCGGGACAACTCCTGCCTGTCCGCAGTGGCGAAGATGTGCTGTCTCTCCCGATGGAAAAGGTGAACTATATTGGGATCTCGCCGCAGCAGATCGTTGGAATCTCTGCCGCACTTGTTCCATTTCTGGAACACGAGGATGCGAACCGCGCATTGATGGGTGCGAACCACCAGCGCCAAGCAGTACCACTTATCCAGCCAGAAGCACCGCTTGTCGGAACCGGAATGGAAGGACCAGCCGCGCTGTATTCGGGCGCGCTCATCACTGCTAAGCGCGCGGGGACTGTCACAAGTGTCTCTGCTGACGAAATCCTCATATACACAGGCGAGACCCTTCACCATGATGAAGGTGAAAACACATTTAGCGAGATGGGCTACGATGTTTATAAACTCCAAACTTTCAAGCGGAGTAACAGCGGTACCTGTATCCATCAACGTCCGATCGTCGCAGTAGGTGATAAGGTTGAAGCAGATCAGGTCATCGTTGATGGCACCTCTACAGAGAATGGGGAACTCGCCCTCGGTCGGAATATTCTGTGTGCTTACATGCCGTGGGGTGGCCACAACTATGAGGACTCTATCCTTATCAGTGAGACGCTCATCAAAGAGGATACCTTCACTTCTATCCATATTGAGGAATTTGAGGTAGAGGCGCGCGAAACGAAGGTAGGCCCGGAAGAAATCACACGTGACATCCCGAACGTTAGCGAACAGCGACTCGGTCAGCTTGACGAGGAAGGCATCATCCGTGTTGGTAGCGTTGTTAAAGCCGGTAGCATCCTTGTCGGCAAGATTACACCAAAAGGTGAAAGCGAATATGGACCGGAAGAGAAACTCCTACGAGCGATCTTTGGTGAAAAGGTTAAAGAGGTACGGGATGCCTCTACTTATGTTCGTCCTGGAGTTGAAGGGGTCGTCATTGATGTCAAGGTATTTTCACGTAAACCCGATGGTGCGCAACGGCGCGGGAACTGGATGCAAGATGACTCCGGGTTGTCAATGGCTGATGGATTACGGTATGAATCAAAACGTAAGGAGATTGAGGAGACTTTGCGTCAGCAAACCGCTTCAATCCGCCGTCGAAAAACCGAGGAGACTCGCAACGCGCTTATCGGATGTGAACTTGTTGATCCACTTTATGCGGTCGGTGATTCCGAACCTTTTGCCAATGCCGGTGATAGCCTGACTGCCGAAGTTTTAGATACCTATATCTCCGGTTTCACGGCAGATGAGTATCATACGGTAATAGAGGATACCGCCGCTGAGGCCTTCATTGCTGATCCGTGCTATAGGGTAACGAGTGTTCCTGAACCTGTTCCTACTATCGCGATGCCTACGCTTGATGCCTTAGCCGAAGAAGCAGTGCCTACCGACAGCGACGCGGATGAGAATTTTGAAGATGTAGGAATATCCTCAGTTTCACCTTCAGAAATCGTCAACACAGTGCAAGCATATTTGAGCGAAGTTTGCAAGCCACTCTTGGGAAATAGTGAGTTACATTTGCAGGAAGAAGAACCTTTAAGTGCGCAAGCGGTCCATGCTGATGTTTCACTTCTCGGTTACGACGGCAGCGTGGTTGCTGTTGCTATGCATAAGAACGCTTACGCCGACGATGAAGACTCCGAAGATGAACCTGATACCGAGCAACTCAAGGAGACGCTTACTGCAGCGAACGCTCGGTTCGCGGTATTGGTGGCGGAAGGTGATCCTGAACCTGATAACTGGAATTTCTATGAGCTTGTGGACAACACAGTGTTGAACACCCAAGAACGCCCTGAATTTGAACAATCTGTTGTTGCTCAACTGGAGGAAGCCGGATGTCCCATCGTAGAAGGGGAAGAACTCACTGAAGCAGAATGGACGGACTACAGTGAAATCCATCCAGATTTGCAAACAGAACGATTTTGGCAAATTAAGGAAATCTTTGACGCGGAGTGTCCGTTGATCGAGGGGCAGGAGTTTTCCGATGCTGACTATCAGAAGGCGTGTAGCGATTATCCGGCACGTCTTGTGGAAGCAGGTCAACGACTGACTGAGGAAGAGCGGGAGGCACTCAATAAGACTGCCAGAAACCTAAAAGCCGAAAGCACTTGGCACATTACTGCTGTTTACGACCCGAGGTGCACACTATCGGTTGGAGAATATGCTTCTGATGCTGACTATCAGAAAGCGCGTAAGGCACGTAGTTTGTCGTTCTCGGACATCAACGTGACCAATACCGAGACGAAAGAGCACATTCAGCGCGTTGAGGAGATGGCACAGGGCAGGATCACCGCTTACACAGACGAGAAAGAGCAAGCACTCCAACAATTGGAAATGGGTGATGAACTCAAGCCCGGTGTTATCAAGCGTGTCAAAGTCTATGTTGCCAGCAAACGTCCTATTTCTATTGGTGATAAGATGGCGGGTCGCTACGGTAACAAAGGTGTTGTTGCCAAAATTTTGCCAGCTGAGGATATGCCCTATCTTGCCAGCTCGGTACCGCCGGTGCAGTTAGTGGTTGAATCCTTTGGGTGTACCTCTCGATGAACGTCGGTCAATCTTGGAAATTCACCTTGGAGATGGGCGTGCCATGAACTCGGTATCCACTGCGGATCTCCTAGTCTTTGATGCGCGCGCCGAGAAAGAAGTTTTGAATGCTTGCAAACACCAATCTCACCGGACGGAGTAAACGCACGGGTAAGAGCACAACAAAAGCATCCTCTTTTTGAAGGTAGAACTGGTGAATGAACGTATTGGCTCCAAGAAGTGACGGTAGGATAGTCTATTTCCTGTTAAATTGAAGAAAACCCACCTCGTTGCTGATAAGATGCTGCTCGCTCCACAGGCCCTTCCTCTCATCGTTACACACACACACCGCTCGTGGCAGCACAACACGTCGAGGCCAACGACTCGGTGAGATGGAAGGCTGGCGCATTGGAAGCTTACGTGTGCTGCACACACACTTCAAGAATGCTCACGCTCAAATCGGATGATGTCTTGCAGAAGAGAGATTTATGAATCGGTTGTGAAGGCTAAACCCTGATTCGCCCGGACCCTCGGAATCGTTCAGGTAATACGTCCGTGACGTCCAAACTCTCGGACTCAATGTATCCCTCGACCAAGATGAGAAGCATAGTTTTCAGTTTAGATGAACATATTTTATTTTTAATTGATATTATGTTTTATTTATGATTGATGTGTTTTTCACTTTCCATTTGTTCCTTTTCTTTTTTTTTTTCTTTAATTTTGTTTTTTTCCTCTGAGCTGACAACCACATAAGGAGGACTGATGAACACGGCATTTGACAGCATCTCCAGTACAGATAGCCGTCGCCTGATCAGATAAGGACTCGGCGGAGGACAAACGAGTTGTAGACACGCGAAATCCTGCTGAAGCTACAGATGCCCCTCCTTTTATCTGCCGGAAAAGGTAGCGTGTAGCTGCGGTGAGGTCAAGAAGGCGGAGACTATTACTACCGCTCTTTCGCTCAGAACCTGAAGGGCTTTTCTGTGAGGCTATCTATCTCGTCGGACCACAAAAAGGATTGGGAGTGTAACTGCGGTAAGATAAACGTATTAGCACAAAGGACTGATATGTGATGCGCTGTGGCGGTTGAGATCACAGCACAACTAACGCGTCCGTAGGACCGACTCGGCTACATCCAACTCGCTGCCCCTGTCATCCCATATATGGTATTTCAAGGGGCTCCCATCACGCATCGGCGTTTTCTGTGGGGGGCTCTCTTCACCGTGATGTTGAACGTGTACTCTATTTTGAAGGTTTATTGTCGTTGAGTAACCCGACCCAGATTGTCCACTTGAAGTTGGGCAGGTGTTAACCGAAGTTGAATACGTAGAGCATAGTAATAAGCACTGGCGGTTTCCGCGCCTGGTACCGGTGCAGAAGTCATCCGAGAAATCCTTAGCAATATTGATCTTGCAGAGAGATAGAAGCGTTAACCCAAGAGTTGGCGGAAACAACAAGCCACCAGAAAAAACTTAAGGTCGCCAAGCAGTTGAAGCAGATGGCAGATTTTGCGGACGCTGAGCAGCGACCCGATGGATGATTCTGGATGTCATTCCAGTGATTCCACCGGATTTACGACGCTTGTTCCACTTGAAGGTGGACGCTTGCTACCAGTGATCTGAACGACCTGTATCGCCGTGTTATCAATCGCAACAACCGACTTCGTAAGCTGATACAACTCCGTTCCCCGGAGTGATTCTTCGGAACGAAAAAACGGATGTTACAAGAAGCCGTTGGATGCTTTCTTTGACAACGGACGACACGGTAGACGTGTCACTGGTCCCGGTAACCGTCCCCTTAAATCCCTCGCTGAGGTGCTTAAAGGTAAAATTGGACGGTTTCGTCAGAACCTGCTCGAAAGAGTTGACTACTCTGGACGTAGTGTTATCGTTGTCGGGACTGATTGGGGCTGCACCAGTGTGGTATACCGACGGATGGCAGTTGAATTGTTCAAGCCGTTTATCATTGACGACTGCAAGCGTACGGCTATACACAGCGATTAAAGCGTGCGAAGCATATCGCTAACACGTTGACTCCGATTCACCTGTGTGGAAGTCGTAGAGGAAGCGGGTCGCGTAAGGTTGGTGGACCAGCACTGAAACTGCTCATTCTGGTTACCTCACCCGGAGACTTGTGGATGTTGCCCCAAGATGTCCGCGTTCCACTGAAGATTGCCATACGCTGAACGCATCCAAAGTTTGCGACAGAAGGCGGTGATCTTCCTTAAAATCAGTGGACGCACCGCTGGCCGAGGATATTGTGCATCCAGCCGTGGTTGACCCCGTTTGAGGTAGATTCAAAGCAATTTACGTTGTGAATAAGACATCCCAAATGGATCACCCTTCTTGAACAGACTGTTTTACCAAGTGATAGCAGGAGTTCGGATACGTCGCCTCTTAAGATTGGTGACGATTGAGCACGACTGACTATGAGCGCTCCTGCGCTACGTATCGAGATATGGATGGGCGTTTAAGTTGAAAAGGCAGGAGGTCGAGCGACAATCACGTAACACAGGTGTATCATCCCGAATGCCCTCCTTAAAGTTTGGTGAAGAGTTAACAAAGGAGGCATTAGGCCGTGCACATAAACGGTTTTACAGGTTTCAAAGCACAAAAACTGCGGCACCCGCGGTTACACAAGTTCATCACCCCGATTGTCTACTTAAACTGGGAGATTTGCTCGGAAGTGAGGCAAAACAGCATCGTGAGCTTATTTAGGGTTCACTACTTCTAACAAGTGAGACGATAATAGGCGGCTTTGAGGCAGAACGCGTATATCGTATAACTGCTGTCAATCATCCGGACTGTCCATTAGAAGTAGGCGAACTTTTAAACGCAACATGACGCGACCGCAAAACGCCGACAATGACAAGGGATTGGAGCTCGCTCGTCATCTATGACAGTGACAACGTGGAGATGGGACCCACACGGCTGAATAGGTAGCACCGTCTCACCAGAAATCGCGTATAAGGCGCACTCGGCAAGACGGACGCTGCACTCACAGAAAAAGTAACCGACCTGTATG